CCGACACGTTACAATTAGATCAAACGAGTTTGCAGCGTTCAACAATGGTTCGGAAATGGGGTTGGAGGCCTCACTCAGACCTCTGTGGACGCCACGTTATTGTAGAGACTTTTATGGCCGGTGCGAGGGGGCTCAAATGTCTGCCATCTCTTCGGCCAGTAATGGTGGACATAAGCCGAATTGGTGCAGTTGCATCGCGGCTACCACCAATGACGTTTAAGAGATAACGGTCCACCCGGCTCCCATCTACCGACCCAGGAACGCGTGCTTTTCGGAGCACTGCGAGGCTGGAAATGTGCTTGATTCAGTTTTAATTGCACGCTATACGGCTAATGCCAAGTTTTGCCAACTTTGTTCCGTCCTGTTTTCCCGGATTCCCGGAACTGTGCAGTTTGTCCGCCAGCGCTCTCTGCTTCTCAGCCTCTGTCTGCGACCCTCAAAGGAGTTGGGAGAAACGTTCCAAGAGAAGTCTCGAGTGGATCCGGGACGGACCAGTTCGTATAAGACGCATTTATCAGTTCTCAAGAAATAGTCGGAAGTGCTCTGAAGCTGCCAGAATGCTCGATGCGACGAAATCATTTTGAGCAGGCTGGACCGGTACTTAGGTTAAAGCGCTGATTTTCCACTCCACCTGGACCTCGCACGACCTGTTATTTTAAGAATTCTTTGGCACAGTAGGCCTCGATTCCTTCTAGTATTTCAAACTCGAACTTCTATTTTTGCGACATCACGCAAAGTTATCACGAGAAGGTCATGGTTTAATATGTGTCGCTGAACGCGTCGAGGATGATTACGTTCGCGCTCACCTGACCAATGTATGGATAGCAATGAGTCAAAGTTAGTTGGCATATATCACATTCTTTGCGCTCTGGACATGATTAGTCAGTCCGTAGACTGAAACACTTATGTCCTCTTAAGCGGCCATTTAGCTTAGAAGACATGTTTCGCATTTGAGGATATTGAAGCAAGCATTAGATATGATGAAGCAAGCTCACTTACAACTATTGGTATCCTTCTTAAGTCGACAGGACTGGTCTAGACAGCACAACTCTCTGCTTGGTGAAAGTGTTCCCCAATGCGTCATGGTTTACGTCACCGTACCTTTCACAACCTTGATTGAGAGCCAATTGACGGCCGTCATATCTGTAAATCGTGCTCGCGAACACCAGATATGAACGCCTCGACAATGATATTTTTCTTGGCCTTGAATGCCGCATGGCTTATGCAATGATTGAATTTCAATGACGTTATTAGACGCCATGAATGCCAGGGTGACTTTGAAATGCTCTCCCCGACATACCTTTCCCCGCTTTCGTGGGCGTGTAGATCAGAATGTGGAGGGCGTTAGTCTCAAGAAGGGTAGGGTTATAAACAGCACCGAAATATCTTCAAGATGACTACTTTAGTTCAAACCCCTATATAAATGTGGAACACTCCCTTTAAATACGTGCAAAATCGTTCAGTGCTCTCTCCACCGGAGAGCAATTCATCGCAGCGGCAAGTTTCGAACCGTTTTGAACGGGGCTTCAGATGATTGCACGAGCGAGAGTTTAACGAGTACCTTGAAGCAGGCGAGCTCCGGCACTGTTGAAGCCGGCATTGTTTACTTGCTTCGCTACTGCATAGGCCTTGATCTCAACGGCGAGTTTCGAAGCGTTTTTGAAGGCTCAGCAGCTGACGACTCGAGCAAGAATTTAACGAGTATTTTGAAGTTGGTGAGATCCCACTTCACGGTTTACCAGCGGTAGTTACCGGATTCTTGTCTGGTCTGACAGGCAATTAAGTTTATACAAAGTCTGCCTTGTACCAGAGTGGTGCGCGAATTGGAGACGAATAATGGTTGCAATCTTAGAGGAAAGGCAAGGCTCTTGATGTCGGAGATAATCATTTGGCCGTGCCGTCCACTATATAAACTGTTAGAAACCTGATTAACATCACCTCGATCAAAGCCTGAAGGACGATCATGTCCCACTGCAAAGGCTTAACAGGCAGCTGATATAGACGGTATGTGTGAGTTTTAACTCCGCTGAAAGGACTAATAAAAAACAAAAAAGCATCGGACACAGTTTTTTAGAACGCCGACATGCAACTCCGCAAGATTCGCGAGGCTGGTCCTGACACGGAACTCCTCAAAGTACCGGGGCTGCTCTGGGAGCGAGCAGGCGATGGGACACGTGTCCGATTACCTGGCTCGCTCGGCTCCCAAAGTGCACAAATTGCGCTCGGACTCGGCCTCCTCGTCAACACGGAGGGCTCCCGAGGGCTGGCCAAGGCCCACATGGAGGTAGAGGAAGTCCGGGATATGGAGGGATCCCGCATTGTCCTGTACGACGTCCGTATGTCCTTCACGGACCTGTGGGGCCGTCGGAAACCGGTCTGCCCTCGCAAAGGGCCGGCGTCCTCTCCCGACGACACGTGCCAGGGTGTAAGGCAACTGGTCAAGGATAGGCGCGCCAGGAACGCCTCGTTTGGTTGCACCAGGCCCAAGGAGGCCTTCTCGAAGGTGGTGGAAAGCGTCGGGGAGGATGGCCGACGGGCTGACCTGCTCCCTGCAAACGACCACAGCTCTCGGGCAGCATTCACGGTAATGGTTGACGCCTGTTCAGCACGTTCAAGTTTAAGTCTAGGAGGGCACCAATGTGCACGGTAAAAGGGAAAATGAGGGGGATGGCGGCGTGACCCGCAACCGGAGCACGGATACGATATGTACGGTAAAAGGGAAAATGAGGGGGTTGGCGGCGTGACCCGTAACCAGAGCACGGATACGAAGTGGATCGGGGGAAGACGTGGTGAAAGGACCCCCGTGTGAGCTTATGTGTGTGAAATGAACGCTTAGAACATCACGTCTGCGTTTAGCTTAACGGAAATATCTTATACAGTCAACTGAAGAACTGCACAGCGAATGTGTGCATGAAGCGATAATCCTGATTTAAGTGCTGTGCTGTAATTCATCACCTGAATGCCTTTAAGACACGTAAAATATCATCTGTATATAAACGTCACTGGCACAGTGCCAAATCTCAATATGGTATGTAAATTAAATCCGATATATTGTCGTAATGTATGTGAATTGTTACCATGCATCCAGTATTCAAACCTATCTTTTTTAGCGTCAAGCCGAAATTACATGTGATATTGGCACTTAAATTCAGGATAGCAGTGAACCGCCAAAAGCCAGCATCTTATACGGCTGTATTCTATCTCACCTACAGGCAGGATGACTATATGAAGCGTTATTTTATATAGCCGGACGGTGGGACCAGCATACACAATACCGATCCAAGTGTGGCTATTTCAAGTTCTCGTGTCAAAAGCACTCATGGGACGAAATAAATTATTTAACTTGTGCGTGGTAAAAACTCGCGACGTGCAAAAAATGCATCGATATCTCATTTGGTGTCCAAGTGAAGTGTCCATTATGCAACACGAACGATTACACACGAGAAGTCTAAAAGTGGGTAAGCCTGTGGTTAGCATGATCTCGAACGTTTCTAGGACGCGATGTTTTATAAGTCCTATAGCTATGCATCTCCTGGTTTCTGATTCAGAATGCTGTGCGCTGCTTGTAGTGCATGTTTTTGCTGGGAAATCCGCGTTTGTACTCATGATGTAACTTTTGAAGTTTTAACTGACAATTCACCATTTACTGGAGTGCTTTTATGTAGACACTCTGTTGTTGCCGTGCCTTCTTTGCAGATTGCAAAGGTACTGCTAGTATTGATCATCGTTGCAAGGCGCACTTCGCTCCAACCACATGTGTTTTCCTCCCCTTTTCCCACCGATGTAGAAGCTAGAAATCTCTACAGCTGTTCAATATTGCATACTTCACTCAAAGATTAGAATCATTGTGCATTCATCCGTTTTATACGATATGTTTGCGCTGTTCAGCTTTCAGCTTTCAATAGGACTGCAGCTGCTTATATCCAGGTAATTTGGAATGCATCTTAGATGTACGAGTGAGTTTGGGAAGACCATAGCACATGCCACTAGCCTCATTGCTAAAGGTATGAAAGGGTGCTACACATCCAGAACGGAAGCTAGAATCACGCCTTTTACGCATGCACCAAAAATATAAGCCTGGTCTTGTCCACGTACCTTAGTCCAGCACTCGCCCAGTGACATAACACACAGCTGCATATCTATCCTCTCCTTGACTTTACATACGCCAAGTGCGCGTGACTAAAGGGCGTTTAAATCGCATGCATTGAAATGCTCCTGACGCAAGCTACCCATGTCTGTTTCGCAGTAAAAGATCGTGGATGTTATTGCTCTCGCACGAAATGTAATGGCTTACAAATGGAATCAGAAGATACCGCACAAGTTACGCGTTACGAGTCACGGGATACTGCGTTGACCTAAGCCTGAAGAATGTAAGAACAGCTCCCCTTAGAAATGATTTCCAATACATCGCTCCCAAAGTCGATACCATCGACCAGTACGTCGGGCTTTCTAACGTTACTTCCCAGACCTTCTCAATGGCGTGGAAAGCCATTCCATTTTCCATTTTCTCAACGCGCCCTCTTATCTTAACGGAGGCCTCATTTCCGACAAGCAGCTATCAGAGGTACTTAACCACCGAGATGAGATCGGGGGAACTGACCATGTCGGTATCACTGCGATATTTCTAGCGCCAAAATGAAGCCCATGTTACGCAGATGGTAAGATAGGAGGGGTCATATCAATGAAGTCACGTTGGAATGGACTTGTGCTCAGGCATGTTGCCGTGTTGCGCGTCTGGCCAAACCCCTGCAATAATTTAAGAAAATCGGCTGTCGTGGCTGCTCCGCTGGCTTATAATTGTGCATTTCGTCACATGTTGTCCTCCCTTATGTTAAGAAAATGGCAGCTACAGGTTGAGTAGAAATTAGTCATGTTCTGAAGTTGTGCATCCTGAGTTACTGAAATAAAGCGCACAGGTGCTGTTCAGCTTGGCCTAGCGTTGTACTTATACCTCAATAAATTCATATAAAATATTTGAAACCACCCTGGCTGTATCCTACCTTTATTGCCGTTGTGGGTCTTCATATTATTGAAAAAGTTGATGTTGAATGTGGGCCGTTTGAACGACCACAATAGTTCCATCATGGCTGCTTCACTTTCGACGCCGCTCAGCCTGATCTCTTCCTCCAGTCCGGCCGTCCCACTGCCACGAACAAAAACCACAAAGCAGAGAGCCTCGCCCGAAACTGCCCGCTCGCAGCTGCACCGAACCTCACTCCTCCTCCCCGCCTATCCCCGCGGCGCTCTTCGGCTCCGGGCGCGCCCGCGTCCGAGGCTCGGACCGCCTCTGGCGCCGGCCGACCGCCGGGGGCGCTGCGTGACCTCCTCCGCCGGCCGCCGGGCACTCACTGAGGCCGCACCGGCCGGCCGCGCGGCGCCCGGCCGCCCGCCGCCGCCGACGCCGTCGGCGCCGCGTGGGTCTGACTGTCAGCGGCCGGCTAGCCAGGCGGACTGGCCGTCCGGGCATGGTGAGGTAGGTTCACGCTCTGATGCTCTAGCATGGTGCGGCGGGGCTGGGTTCTCCCGACATGCGAACACCACTCACCTTGTGTTGCAAGCGTAATGGGCCCGCTGTTCCCCATATGTGGTCTCATCACCTATTTACAAGCGATCAATGCTGTCCAATAGCATAGAGTGAAGGCGATACTTTGATGTCCTTTTAATAGACGGCATCAAGACAGATGGGCTGACAGCGAGGACACTGATGACATGGTAGGTAGCTCTCTGTCCTTCACCTGAGGGCTAGCTTACCAACTGCCATCTTGCCCTGTTGCCGTCTTGCACCCGTCACGATCCGAACACTACAAAATGTGCTATTGTCTTCTTTCGACAAACTAATGCGGTGCAGGCTTAAGCCAACCTTAGTAGTTGGTCAACTCCAACAAAACATAGTCTTAGTGTTCGTCGTAAGAGACAAAGGACATGCCAGGCACTCACGCTACGTGTTGATATATTATATATATCATAATATATATATATATATCTATATATTATATAACATATACCTATATATGAGTATATCATCATATCACATATCTAAATATATATATCATATCTACCCTCTCTCTCTCTCTCTCGCTCTCTCTCTCCTCTCTCTCTCTCTTCCTCTCTCTCTCTCTCTCTCGCTCTCCTCTCTCCCTCTCTCTCTACTCTCCTCTCTCTCTCTCTTTACGTTGGACAGAAACGGGGATGTAGTTTTGTAAAATGTGTTGGGGGCGGCTGAACAGTAAAAACGACGCCACCCTATCCCAAAATATGGCAGCAAACGGGTTATTCCCCGGATGTGACCCACTTTCCTTTCAAAGTCGTGCGCTGGAATCCCCCCAACCGAAAAGGAAACAACACCCCTGACAGCGGGTCAAATGTAAAAACACTGCTCGCTGACCTAGCACATATGGATATCAGTTTTCTAAACACATATCACAAAGCAGTTCTGCCAGGGAATTCTCGACAGACCGAAGGCTTCGGCGAGTCCCGGCAGCGACCACGCCGCTTCCGTCGCGAAAATCTCCTTCGTAGATGGTGATTCTACGCAGCGGTTTCAGACAGAGAGCAATAAGAAGTCATCGGCCGGAAGTTTGACATCATTGTAGTAAACTGGAGTCCGTTGTGCTGCTATGACTACAGGCCAAATTCAGCAGCACCGCGTTTTCACAGTTTACGTGCATTGCAATGCTGTGCGGACTTGTAGTGTTATGAGGAACGGAGATGCCCGGGAATCGAAAGGGTCATTCCAGGACAAATGTACAGGTGAAATGGCTGAAGTAACACCCAATACATTTTTATTTCGCTAAAAGTGTCATTGAGGGGTTGTGTTATGTACAGAGTTCAAATATGCCATTTTAGGAAAGATCAGAGTTACGGATGAGAGGTCGCGGTCACGGACATTTTAAGGGATCAACTAGCAAGGACGTTCTTGGAAACTATAACCTTATAACTCACCGGCCATTTTTTTCAGAGTTGTACATGTATGCACACAATCGAGCTACCATTTATGACATACTTGCATACTGATGCAATTGCGCACAGGTTTGTGTAAAATGAAAGCTTTTTTAAAGTGTAATGTTTGTGTAAGATGAGCTGGAGGAAGAGCCTGACTATGCGCACATCTTCGCCACATGCTGGCCCGCATGCCCGTGTTTCCACGCGATCTCCCATGGCTCGTGATAATCCTCTGGCTGTGTGCATGGGCGCTCGTGCGTGCCGTGTCGCTCGGTCACTGATCTGGAGATCCTCGGCGGCACACATCGTCTGCCAGGCGGCGAGCCGCGCCGACGCGTCCGGATCAGCGGCACAAGCCGGGCAGAGGCCGCCTCTGAGCGGGCTGGCCGCCGGCGCCGACGACGGCTGCCCGGCCCCGGTCCGCCGCCGCCGCCGGCGTTGATGGAGCAGTCTCGAGCCCGTCGGCGCCCAGCTCCGCTCGCTGCCGGTCGTCACGATATCCGACAAAAACGCGGCCGCCCCCTCGCTCCGCGGCCTCTGATCATGTGACGTTTGTTTGCCCCGAGCCGTGGGCTTTGTGCAGCGAGCAGTTTCTGGGGGCCGCCGCGACTCCCCAGCGATTCTCGACCAAGCTCTCCATCAGTGTCGGCCGCAGTCGACTATCGAGAGTTGTTGACTCGAGAAAGCGGCAACACTTGGCGTTTGAAATGGTTTTAAAAACACTGACGGCGCTGTTGAATGTGAAGACCGGCAGCGACCGTCGCCGCTGCTCAATAGCCGTCAAGTGGCAGGCGCAGGTTCGGCTACCGAGGCGGGCGGCGGCGAACCGTTGGTAGGCTGTTCCGCCGTACACAAAACAGCGGCACAGCCTACCACTGCAGGGCGCTTTGCTTGGCAGGGTGACGTGTGGTATACTATTCGGTGTGAAGCACCTGGACCAAGGAGTCTTAAGTTCAACGCAGTCAGGTCTTGCGCTCTTTCCAGTCGCCCCCAACATCATACTATGAATTAACCCACTACCCACTCTTTTGCAGCACACGTTGCACGTCATGGCATAAACATAGTGGAAAGCGAATTGCTCATTCCGAGTCGGTCACGTTTTCAGGGAAGAGCCACGCAAACATGCTGAAAAGGGAATGAAAACACGTGGATCTGTGTGGTACCGATTTTGGTCCTTGAAGATGCCACGATGCCCAATCATGTGCCCCTGCCTTAGAAGATGAGTATAGTGCTTGAATGGCACCGACGTGAAACTGCGTATTTGAAAGACTGATCGCACCGCAAGTGAAACTTCTTTGCACAGTTCTAACGGAAAAAATATTGAATTTTGAATGTGATGGCACTGGACCGCGTCGGCTTTGCGGTGGCGGCTATGATGATGAAACGGTAATGCTGTCGTGACAGTCGATCCCAGCCCCACTGCAGCTACTCCCATCTTCGGCACGCGATGATCACGGCGCCGCACAGCCCACCAACATTGTCCCTTCCCACGAACCGACAGCCACTGTCACAGCGACAACAGACTCTTGTATGTGTCGCTCCAGCACGGAACGACGCAGCACATAGACCTGTGACATGTCGTTGGTCCATGCCAGAGCATTCTGCCGATGAGCCGGCTATCCTCGGCAGGCTCAGCGGCGGCGGCTCATACCGTCCGCCGGCGGCGAGCCGAGCCCACGCCTCGAACTACTGACACGTGCCGCGTGGCGGCCTGCTACGAAGGCGGACCGTCCGCAGGCGGCGAGCCGGGCCCACGCCTCGGACCACTGACACGTGCCGCGTGGCGGCCTGCTCCGAGGGCGGGCCGTCCGCCGGACGCGAGCCGAGCCCACGTCTCGGACCAGACACGTGCCGCGTGGCAGCCTGCTCCGAGGGCGGGCCGTCCGCCGGACGCGAGCCGAGCCCACGTCTCGGACCACTGACACGTGCCGCGTGGCAGCCTGCTGCTAGAGCGGACCGTCCGCCGGTGGCGACGACGGCCCTCACATGCACCTACCGAGGCGTGGACGTCAAGCCACCGCCGCCTTACGGAACGCGAGCGGCGGCGTCGCCAAGCGTCCTATGAGTGGTGACGTCACAAGGACGCCAGCCACGTCGCTGGGCATACATGTGTGCCGCTATTGCATGGGGTGGCATGTGATAGCGATGGACAGAGATGAAATGGCACTGATCGCTGGTTGTTGCATGCGCCACGAAGCCTAGCTCCTCTGTTGCCCACTCCCCAGTCTTGCAGACTTGATCCACTGCGCAGGCGTTGCGCCAGGCCCCGCACCCCAGTCTCAAGAGCCGGCACTTCCAAATAAAACACCTTTATTGCCTATTCTGAGTCAATAACGTGGGCTGCGGGGCACTAGAGACCGGCTTTCGCGAACAAAACAAAGCGGAAAGAGAACGTAAATGGGGCCAACCAGGGCAAACTAACTTTAGCTTACACCAGACCGGCTTCTCTGTTCGCAGCCGCCTGTCAGGGAGGGCGTGCACAACACTAAAAGTTCAAAACACTCTGTCTCCTCTCTTCCTCTCTTCCAAACCGCTCACCGCCGTTTGCAATTCGCGTTCAGGTGTATTCAGAAAGAGGCGGACAATGAACTGATGGACCACGCGACAGCCATGAGACGACACGCCAGGAGCGGCGAGGGCGTAAGCCGCCGGCACCTTACGCAACACGACACGGCACCGCACCACACGGAAAGAAGGGCGCCACGCGACCGGCGTCTTATAACGCTGGGGCTTCTGATATTAATCCCTGGTGGATACGCGCCCCTCCAGCATTCACGCGCGAAAGACGCAGCCAGGTAATCGACACGGGACAGATACGGAACTGGCCCGGAATATGACCACGGCGTGGGGAAGCAATTCCATTAGAAGATGTAAAGCCAGGTGCTGGTATGTATGGCTTCCATTATGAGTCCGCAGGGACGAGCATGACCATTGTGCGACAAACTAAAGAAATTCCGGCAAATCCGGCCTCACAACATTCATCAACCGAAAAATGATACATTCTAACCGAGCTGTCACGCACACGTTTTCACAAGCCGACCCATTCGCGTTACGCACACCCACAATTCAGCACAACGCTCACTCCACCCCACTCGCCAGGCGGCCGACGCTCCCACTGCCATCTGTTGACGACCGGCGAAACTGACCACCGCCGCCTAGCGGCTGGAGGCGGAACTGGAGCGGGACTTGGAGCGGCTGCGGCTGCGGCTGCGCGTCGGCTGCCGGCGGCGCCGGGGGCTGCGCGAGCGCGTACGGGAGCGACGCCGACGCGGCGGCAGCGGCGGCGGCGTGCGGCGCATGCGCGGCGGCGGTGTGCGGCGTCGGTACCTGCGACATCCGGCGTGGTTAGAGTGCCGGCCAGACGACGCCTCGATTTCTTACCGAGGTTATACTGGGTCGTCTGTTCACGGAAACGGAGCGCAGTAATGAGTCCAGGACAACAAGAAAAAAAATGATATGAGCCCACAACAGAAATGACTTGGTCTCGTGGTACTGCGCCATTCGGAACCCGAGAAGTGACAAACCTGGAGTAACGACGCAATGTCCAGGCGCAGCAGACAACACGCGGCACAAGGCGACGTCAGACGGGACCCGCGTGGCAAACACCGGTCCAGCCGCATCATACCGGCCTGAGGAGCGGTCGGAGCGGGGGTCCTCGTCTACCCAGCCGCTGTGGTGCCGCCGACGCCGATGGCTGGCTACGGCTCCAGCGTCCGCACCCTCCGGACGGCCTCTCACCTGGGCAGGTTGGCATAGCGCGGCGGCATCGGGCGACGCATCATCGGCGGCGGAGAGCGGCGGGGCCGCGGCCGCGGCAGCAGCACCGGCGCACAGGTCACCTCCTGGCCGTCAATCTGGGGAGCGCACAGAGCACAGGTCACCCCCTGGCTGTCAATCTGGGGACCACACACAGCACAGGTCACCTCCTGGCCGTCACAGCACCGGCGCACAGGTCACCTCCTGGCCGTCAATCTGGGGACCACACACAGCACAGGTCACCTCCTGGCCGTCACAGCACCGGCGCACAGGTCACCTCCTGGCCGTCAATCTGGGGAGCACACACGGCACAGGTCACCTCCTGGCCGTCAATCTGGGGACCACACACAGCACAGGTCACCACCTGGCCGTCAATCTAGGGACCACACACAGCACAGGTCACCTCCTGGCCGTCGGTATGGGAACCACACACAGCATAGGTCACCTCCTGACCGTCAACCAGGGACCACACACAGCACGGATCGCCTCCTGACCGTCGGTATGGGGACCAGACACAACACAAGTCACCTCCTGGCCGTCGGTATGAGGACCATGCACAGCACAGGCCACCTCCTGGCCGTCGGTACGGGAACCATACACAGCACAGGTCTCCTGACCGTCAATCTGGGGACTACACACAGCACAGGTCACCTCCTGGCCGTCAATCTGGGGACCACGCAGCACAAGTCACCTCCTGGCCGTCGGTATGAGGACCATCCACAGCACAAGTCACCTCCTGGTCGTCGGTATGGGGACCATTCACAGCACATGTCACCTCCTGACCGTCAACCTGGGGACCAGTCACAGTCATCTACGTGTAAAACACGTTAAGTGACATGCTGAGTTGCATTGCCCCGAATCCTTCCTACCCAGTGAATGCACAATGAATATCATCCACACAACTCGTCGGTGGTGACGTACTGCGGCCCATCCATCCCATCATCCCCTGGCCGTAGTGCATCCGGACTGCACGCGGAGAGAGTGGAGAGAGCATGCAGTAGGGCGGGGGGGGGGGGGATGGCTGTTGCTGCGTCCCATTGCAAGCTAACCCCCGACGTTGCAATAAATAATGCAGCCTACATACACACGCATACACATACTCGTATGCGTACACACAGGGCACATCGGTGCCAGAACACATCGTCTATCAACGTGCACGACGCTCCCCTCCCCCTCCCCCGATGCAAACACATGGACAGATGCTCCCAGCAAATGAACGTCTCTGAATCGTCCACAAGACCCATTGAATCGCGCACGCGCATTGCTTGCCGCCGTTGCCGATCAACGAGCTTTGGGACGCATCGCGATAACGGACAACGGCCACGCCGTGCTGGAGATCCGCGGCGGCGCAGACAGCAGCCTACAGTCCACATCACTGCCAGCAGCGACCTGCACCACGCTCACCGACGGCGCGCGCGAACGTGGCGTTGCGCAGCGCCCGGCCGCGGCCCGCCGCGACCGAGGCCGGCTCCGGCGCGAGCGGGCAGCAGGCGCCGCGCGCGCGGGCTCACCTGACCCCCGTCCATGTGCTTCATGGCCGTCTCGGCCGCCTCGGCCGTCTCGTACTCGACGTAGCAGTAGCCGCGGTTCAGGTCGGCGTGGAATCGCTTCGACGGCAGGTCCACCAGCTTCACCGGCCCGTACACCGAGAAGATCTCCTGGATGTGGTCCTGCGGCGGCCGGCGGTGGTGGCGATGATGACGGTGATTGGGGCTCAGGGGCGCGCCGACGACCGAGGTCATTTTGCGTGGGGCAACGGCTCAATACACTTCCTCGCTGTAGCGAGGGGGGTAGTCGGCGGCCCGCCTGTGACGGCAGGCGGCGGCTGGGGGAGGGGACGGTGAGAAGGGTGAGAAGGGTGGAAGGGGGGGGGGGGAGGGGTGGCGGCGACAGTTCGGGAAGGGAGGGACGGTACACAAGGCCTGCGCCGACCGTGACGGGCCACGGCCTGAGAGCGAGCGGAGAGAGGGCGGAGGGAGGACACAAACCACCGCGTCGTGCACGGACCCGTGGACTCCCCGCCCTCCCCAACGCCCGCCATCACAAGCCAATGGAGGCAGCCCCAGTCAGCAGACCGCGGCGCGGCGGGCCCAGCCCGCTGGCCGGCCACCCCGCGCCGTGCCGCGCCGCTCATACCAGTGAGATTGATGGTGGGGCGTGAGGCCCGCCGCCCCGCCGCTAATGATGCTCCGGATACCCCCACTCAGTTCAGCTCCGACACCGGGGGCGTGTCTCGAATCAGCGAACCGGCCCACTAGCGGACGTCGTCGGCGGCGGTGGCCGTTCCCCCGACGCTCAGTCTACGCTACTGTTTCGGCTGACCCCGGGTCACCGCCGATCGGCGCCACACACTTGCATGCACGCACAGACAGCCCACGAACGCGTGAACACATCGCCACGCCATTGCTCGCACCAAGACACGGAGAGCCTGACCCCTCCACCTCACTCCACACACACACACACACACACAGCCATGCAGTGAACCGAGCGGTGCCGCTGTATGGGCGCCAAATGACCACCGCAGTCGGTGCCCCCGTAAACTCCAATAAACAACAACGAGCGGTGCCGCACCGCCAGCGACCTTGCCCGTCACCGCCTGACCCACAGGCACGCCATCTCACCGCAGCGGCCAGAGGAGGACGGGCGTACCGCCCTCCCCACCCCGAAACGAGCGCACGCCAGGTGAAGAGGGCAACGTGTCGCCCCACCAGTCGCTACCCGCATCTGAGTCCCGCCCCGGCCGAAACGGGCAGGAGTTCCCTCATAATAAGACCAGCTGCCTCCTATCCACGGCCCTGCCGAGATCTCGTCAGGCCCTGCCGAGATCTCGTCAGGACCAGCCGAGGCCTCGTCATCCGCGTGGGTCTCCCTTCAGGGTTGTCTACACTGCCGCGGCCACCCGCGCAGAAAAGCCCCGCCGCGCGCTCCCGAGAAGACGGCAGCGGCCGCGAACGCACGCCCCGCTCGCGCGAAAGCCGTGCGCGCCGGCCGCCGTGGCTCCGGAGCGTCACTGCCGCAGCCAGCCAGACCGGCGGCAGACACCCGCCCGGCGTCACGTGCCGCCGCCCCGTGCCGCCGAGCCGGCATCACGCCAATTAACGCGGCCAGCCGAGAGAGATGCGCCAATTTTCTGACGGCGTGCAGCTCGGCCGCGCATTAATTGGATCCGGCCCGGGCGGCGGCAGGTGCGCCGCTGAAACTCGCCCCACCAATCGATGCGCCCGGGCGGCGGCGGCGGCGGCGGCGGCGGCAGGATCGACCGGTGCCGATCGGGCCGCCGCCGCCGCCGCCGCCGCCGCCGCCGCCGCCGCCGCCGCCGCCACCGCCGCCCGGGGCTCTGGCACGTGCACTTCGGCCGCACGCCCCGGCCGTCCGCCCAGCGCAGCGGCGCCGGCGGCCCCGGCTGCCGGTCCCGCCGCGGCGGACCGGCCAACCGCGGGTGGCCGCCGGGGGTGACCGCCGCCGCGTGTCGTCGGCGTCGGCGTCGGCACCGGCGCCCGGCACGGCGCGTGACGCCCGGAGCAGGCCGCGGTGGGCCTCAGGGGTCGCGTGCTGGTGAGGACACGCGCCGCTGTCGCAGCCACCGTGGTATCGTGTGATCAGTGTCACCGGACGCACAGCTGGGAAACACGAGCCGACGCGTGCGTCCCGAGCGACGGCATTCAGCCAAATTAATCCAGTCGGCCCGGCCACCAGGGGCTCGATGACCTTGTGACGTGGATGCACTCGGTGACCCCGTTAGGCGGCTGCAGTTATGTGATGGCTCAGCACACGCCACGACATCCCCGGAGAATATCAAACCTCTTTTTTAAAGATTTAGTGCGAACCTTTTGATTGGATGTATTTCTGGGACTAGAGTCCATGCTTTGCGGAGCGTGTTGCGCAAGCCCCGGCCCCGCCATGCGATCGTAATATTTCAGGTCAACGGCAAGATTTTGCGGCGAAAGTCCAGCGTGCCAGAAACGCCCGGTACGGCCCGTCCATCCTGTGACGCCACCTGACCTTTCGCGCGGCTGCTGTCACCAGCGGCGGGCCGTCCCGCCAGGAGCGAACAGAGGTCGCTTAAAACGACTCGCTCCCACCCGCCACGAGTGGGTGGATCTAAAGGCAGGCGCTCTAACTCACAGGGCTACTGGGGCCCTTGACCAATATATTAGTCGTTAAAGGCACTTCCAGCAGGACAAAGGTTGAACGTGCTCTCTGGGCTAACATCTGTGGAACTTTCTCATCATCCTAAGAACCAAGACTTAATCAAGATATTACCATCGAAATCAAAATAAAGATCGCTTTCCCTTCACATTCATTATCATAACAATAAGCACACTAAAAAGTTAAAATAGTTAATCCCGAGTCGTTACGACAATGAATGTAACGGCAACTCCGCACTGAAGGCTAAGCATACGTCAAACCGACGGAAAAGCAGGTCAGAGCTTTCTCAACGAAATGGAAGCAGAAATACGAGTTCCCTTTACTACGACTTAGTTCGAATTTATGGGAGAGCACGTTCAGCCAGATGGTGATATTTCACACTGTGGCACACGAATGAATCAAGGTCCAGATTTAGATTTGAGACCCCTGCCGCACAGCGCCACGCCGAGCCGAGCCGAACCAATAACGTCCCGTCATAACCTATTGACGAGCCAATGTAGGAAAAAATGCTGCTTTAAAACGGTTGCATACTTTCGTTTTATCTTTTATTAGCATGTATGGTTTAACCGAAGCAAGCGATCGCTTGGCTTAGCCGAGCCAATCCCGTCCTGCCACAATCATATGACGAGTAAATCTACGAAAGACGCTGTTTTGAAGTGATAACCCGTTTTCGTTTCATCTTTTGTACGCATGGGTTTAGCGCCCAACGATTCCCGTTTTCATCCAGTTTTCCCGTGCAGGATCCGGCCAGGCTAACACGGACAAACTGCGGCCGCCGTAACGGACGCCAAAACTTCCGACCGTAACTCGCCCGGGGCGTGTGCGGCTCGCGACCGTCACAGCGGGGGTTCAGCAGCTGTCGGCCGGGCACATGTTGAGCTCGGTCCGCCGCCCGTCTCGCTCGGACCCCAGCGCCGGCCAGTCTCCCGCAGGGCACGACTCGCGCCCGAGCTCGCCCGCTCTGTCAGGGTCAGAGGCCACGTGCCCAGCTGGTGTTCTTGAGTGCCTGAGACCATTTCAATAACAAGAACACATTCTTCAAGCGATTGAGGTGGAAAGACCGGCAGGGATGTGAACGCTCGTGAGGCTTGATCCGTGGGCTATGCCTTCAAGCAGTGCATGAGATTCTGCGTGGTGGGCGGCGTTGGTGAATCAGACGACTTCTTTTACTGGCTTGCATATCGTCAGATGATGGAAACATCTCAACGGAAGCGACGTGAGCGCGACAAAATGGGCCTGGCGAAACCGTCCGCACATCGGACTTGAAATCGAGACCCTACATCGCAGACCGCGTGCTGACCGATACGACTACTGATCCCGATACCGTGACCGATACCAGTACTGATCCCGATACCGTGACCGATATCAGCACTGATCCCGATACCGTGCCCGATACCAGTACTGATCCCGATACCGTGACCGATATCAGCACTGATCCCGATACCGTGCCCGATACCAGTACTGATCCCGATACCGTGACCGATATCAGCACTGATCCCGATACCGTGACCGATACCGAGTCTGCGGACGTCGGCACCACAGCCCAGTGGTGCTGACCGGAGGCAACTCACCCCAACCCTGGCTCTCACCTTGGTCACGTTACGCGTCAGATGGCCCACGTGGATCTTGAGCGGCTTGGGGGTGGGCGAGCGGGCCTTGCGGCGCGGCCGGCTGGCGCTGCGCGAGCGCGACTTGCGGTGGCTGGAGGCGGGCGGCCGCTCCGGCCGCGCGCCGCCCGCCGGCCGGCGCCGCCCGCGGCCGCGGCCTCGCTCAGAGCTGCTGCTGGAGGAGCTGCTGCTGCGCGAGCTGGCGCTGCTCGAGCTGGACGATGAGCCGGACGAGCTGCCGGACGAGCTGCAGGTGACGAGACATGGTGGTGTTGTGCGCTGATTGTGCGGGGAGGCTGGTGAGGTCAGCTGATTGGACAGGAGGCCATTAGAGGGAATGGACAGGGAGGAAGTGGCGTTCATCAACATACTAATGATGGAAGAGGGGGAATAGGATGTGCATGGGGAGTGGACCAATGCTGGTCAGTATCATGTTTCAACACACACACACACACTTATCTATAATTTTTAGTAAGTGTTGATGACATGCAGCTTAACAAAAACAGCACATTCAAATGTTTGTAACACCTGTTACATGCAGCACTACTGTTCAGGGTTCTTGCTTCAGTCCAGTGAAGTAAAAAACATGTCATAACAGGAATGTTTCCGACAAAGCACACAGCCTAGGTGAGGTCCCTTGCAGGTAGTGTGTTCCTGAGTAATGCACACTTATGTCACCTCAGAATTTCCTAGCTGCAAACTTAATTCTCAATAATCACAGCTGGTTTGGATCCACCATGCTTGACAGATGTAAACTGTTGATGATGGGTTGAGTTTTAGGGTGCATCAATGGCTACAGAGCCATCCCTGGATTGGCTGTTGTGATCTACTTTTCATTGATCATAAGAGTTACTTGGGTGTAGGTGTACTTTCCTACCTAACATTAGAAAAAATCATTGCACACCATTCGTCGTGTTTAAGGCGGCACATATCGTAAATGATCTCAAAACAGGTAGAATCATGCTCCTACCTTCGAATTTCAATAACTTCGATGGCGAGCTCCCGAGCGCCGCGCGCACCGCACCGCCTGGACTCCCCAGCGCCATTTCTGCGTTGCCGTTACGTAAATACAATATTTCTGCTTACCAAGAATTCTACAAAATGTACGGAACCAAGGTAAACCATTCGTCGTGTTAAGGCGGAACATATCGTAAATAATTTCAAGACAGATAGAATCATGCTCCTACCCTCGAATTTTAATAAATACGATAACGAGCTCCCGAGCGCCGCACGCACCGCACCGCACCGCCTCGACTCCCAAGCGCCGTTTCTGCGTTGTTGCGAAAGCACAATATTCCTGCTTATCAAGAACCATAAAACATGTACGGGACCAAGGTAACAATAATAAAGCAACCAAAACCGTTTCTTATCGACTTTAGGTACATTTATGAAACACACAGGCCAGAATAGTCCAGAACATATCCTAAACTAGCTTAACCTAACCTAACCTAACCTAACCTAACCTAACCTAACCTAACCTAACCTAACCTAACCTAACCTAACCTAACCTAACCTAACCTAACCTAACCTAACCTAACCTAACCTAACCTAACCTAACCTAACCTCACCTAACCTAACCTAACCTAACTGAGAATAGACTCAAATTTCGTGGATTCTTGTTACCTTGGCGCGGTACATTTTTATGGTTCTTGATGCTGCTTGATGCGCAGTAATTTTGTGACCCGCGCAGTAATGGCGCCGGTGTCGCGGGTGCTGTGTGTGTGCGGCGCTCGGGAGCTCGCCATCGTAATTATAAAAAATTGAAGGTAAGATCATGAATCTACCTGTTTTGTGATTATTTACGATATGTCCTGCCCTAAACACGACGAATGGTTTACCTTGGTCCCGTACATTTTGTAGAGTTCTTGGTAAGCAGAAATATTGTATTTACGCAACGGCAACGCACAAACGGCGCAGGGGAGTCCAGGCGGTGCAGTGCGCGCGGCGCTCGGGGCCCGCCATCGAAGTTATTGAAATTTGAAGGTAGGAGCATGATTCTACCTGTTTTGAGATTATTTATGATATGTCCTGCCTTAAAAACGACAAATGGTGTACAATGATTTTTTCTAATGTTAGGTAGGAAAGTACACCCTCACCGCTACTTGTTAATGAAAAATCAATTCAGCATACACAAAGAGAATGCATGAAAGGACCTTACCACAATTTTGTCCTCAAATCAGATACAGTCCCAGCATACCTCTAAGCATGTTACAAATAACAAGAACCTGTTACCTTCTACTGCTATCACTTGATGATGGACTGCCACTCTTGGCCCGCTTCTTACGCTCCTTATCACGGCCTCGCTCTTTTTCCTTTTTCTTGGGCTCAACTGGCTTCTTTTTCTTGGCTGCTTCCGAACCTGATCCCGAGCTGCTGCTCTCACTGCGCTCCCTGGCCCTGGCAACAGGACAGGATAAAGTCAAACCCAATGAAATAAAAAAATGTGTCTCACGTAATTATGAACTGCTAATATTGCAAACTCCATTGCATTTTAGGAATGGGCTCTCCACTGTTACATGAAAAATTGTTTTAATTCATATTCAACAGACTACCCATCCTGCAAACCGTAACAGATCATGACCAGACCATAATAGGATAGCCGTATTGTAACAACTGTCAGGCACTGACGCCGCACCAATCGCCCATTCATGTCCCTGCCGCGGTTTGCTGTCTGGCCCACTGATCCAACAATGCAAGCCGGTTCAGGCGTCCCGATCGCATGGTGCCGACTTAGAACTTACATGGCTCTTTTCGCCAGTGCAGGAGGCGAACTCAAACGCGATTTTCTCTACGATGCAGAAACCAGTACACAAACCCTTGTCAAAATGATTAAATTACAACGCGCCAGGCACACGCCCGATCCACGCTACGCGCCTGGTATACTTGGGGAACGCGGCGCGTGCCAGATCGGCCGCGTTAATGCGTTCGTGCCGCAAATGCGCCAATACGTTGTGAATGTCCTGCATCTTTGTATAACCCATTTTCGTGATAACCTACAATTTTGCAATTTCTGTGGAATTGATTTCTGAACAAATTAAATCGGAATAATTATTTACACCATCTAGCATATCTTTAGATCAGTCAATTCGGTCAAGATGCCTTGTATGGCAAAAGTGGCTTTGAAATCATAAGATTTGAATGACGTCATGTAAGAAGGAAACTAAAAACCTATCTCTCTTTTGGAAACTTGGTAGGCATATGATGTCATAATAAGCAACATTTTTTGCAAGACTGAAAGCATACGAACTCAAATATTCATCCGGCCTTGATCCTATCATCCCTAACAGCGCGGGCAGGAGCTGGTGCGTTTGTGCGTGGTGAAATCCGACTGATTTACCAGCGATTTTTGCGTATGTGCAAGAGGAATCGTGCTCGATGACTGATATTATTGACATAGGTCTCTACTGAGCAGAAGTGGTCGGTCAAAGTGGTAGGATGAGTTGTAAGATTGATCAAACACTGTGGCTGTGTCATGCCCTATACCCATCAAAGCCCAGTTGCTTTACTAGTTACATGCTAACCTTTTTACTTGAGCATCTCGATTGCCTCACAAGTGGGGTAAAGGACATTTGTTTAACTTCCCAATTATCTCAGTACATGGGAGAAATCAATATCATAATTGGGATTTTATGTTGGCTGACCTGTGTGCATCTAAGCTCTAGCCTCATGCCATCTATCAAACATGGTTGGGGCCTCACTTCTAACATAGCGGGGAGTGCTTTCATAACATACCTGTCAAACTCGCCTCAAGCCTTTGTTTTGTGTTCTGCTCTGGAATGTGTCCTAGATGATCACCTTCACTGATCGCTGGAAGAACAATTGTTATGATGCCCTTCAATGAAAATATGGAAGCCTCAGCATATAACAGAATGTGCAGCATATTCCTTAGTTAGTCTGCAAGCTGACATCAAACCTTGAAAAAGTAATTTTTCTTCCTAAGTCAACACTAAGACAGGCCATATGAGGCCATATCTATGAAAATATTTGATGTCATGATCTGATTTTCGTTATCAGGCAGTTTGCAGGGTGACAATGAGCCTTTAATTCAGTCATTTTATCAGGTCATTTTCAACCAAAATCACACCAGATATGTCAAATTATAGGATATTTATGAAAACATGGCTTGCTTTGTCATAGTTATACATGATAGCTGCAGGTTATATTGGGTCATATTTGGTGTGACTTAACATGGTCAAGCTTGCTTTGCTTTCATGTGGGATAAGGATAAGGTTTAACATGACAGGACATGTGACAGGACATGTGCTATGTGTGGCAGTCCTGACCATTGTGACATGGTTTGACTTGACACAGCCCACTGGTCATATTCAGTAACATGTTACTGTGAGAGTATGATTCAGCATGGTGAGAGCTGTGCAATGCCATACTTCCCACTGCCACAGTACCTGCAGGCCTTAAGACAGAAGGGACACAAATTACTTCTTAATCACATGGTTTCATCCACCAAGGCCCCTTGCATGATGCTCACCCACACTATTCTGATGCAGCTTGGCACATACATTTGTATGATTTTCTGCTCTTTACAGTTGCCTGACATGTATAATTCATGCCATGTTCTGCTTGATGATTATCTTGAGATTTCTGTTGGCTCACTAGCCAGTAAAGCTGAGAAGGTGACAAAATGCCAGCTTGGTTATGGTTTAACATGTGCTCCAGTGGGGGGGGGGGGGGGTGAATTGACCCCCCTTGAAGGTTTTTCCAGAATGGTTTCTGAATGGTGCAGCATAGCCATACCACATTTTGCATAGCTGTAGACAGTTGAATAACAGATCATTTGGTGTTAAAAATTTAGGTGTACCATGTAAGGTCAATGACCTATAGCAGGTCAAAGTTGGGCCATATTTTCAGCAAAGTCAATTTCTTAAGAATTGTTCAATCTGATGCAACAACAGAGTGTTAGATGAAGCCATACATCCTGGAGGTGCTTTCTTGGGCAACATAGCAATTGAATGAGCAAATTACATTGATGTAAGATCAGGTATGAAGGTCAGACCAAGGTCAAAACCAGACTGTTTTATTACTCTAGGGCCTGCTGCATGGGGTAGTTTCTGGTGCTCATTTTGAATTTATTGATGGCGGAAACTGCATTCTACATCTTCCATGGACTTTGTAGAGGTCAGAATAGGCCATTGACCTAAAATGACCCAAGTCAGCATTTTGTTCTTCAGGACATTCTGTGTGGCATAATCTTTGTTGCTCATTCAAATGCAAAACTCAAAGCAGCCTTGTATTATTTGGTCACCTTCAAATGGTCCTTAACCACCACCATGACCTTCAAAAGGTCAAAAAGGTCACTGGCCTTAAATGACCATGTGGCCTCTTGCTTAGAAACACTCTAGGTTCTAGGGGCACTTCGAAAACCAACGTGGAATTCAACATTATTTGACCTTATTTGACCCAAAGTCATGATCTGGGAACCTCAAACTTTGATCTAAGTGGGTTCACATACAGGTCAACACACCCTGTGAATTTGGTGTATCCAGCCTTCTTAGTTCCCGAGATCTCAGGGGTCAAATTGCCCCTCCCTCCCCCCCCCCCCCCACACCCGAGCAAAAGGTATCCAGCCGGCCACCGGTGCGCGTATACGTGTTTTACTGACACCTCACTCACTTTTCACTCACCTCACTCTCCCTTCCCCAGAATCCACACCACCGCGAGCTGCTCACCATGTCTGGCATCGCCTCTTCCCGGCTGTCAGAGGAGCGCAAGGCCTGGCGCAAAGACCACCCCTTTGTGAGTATAGCCAGGTCCACCCCTTTGTGAGTATAGCCCTGTGCTGCGAGGTCCACCCCTTTGTGAGTATAGCCCTGTGCTGCGAGGTCCACCCCTTTGTGAGTATAGCCCTGTGCTGCGAGGCTTCCGAGCGTTTTTTATCGGTGCTTTGTTTGCAAGTGGAGGAGTGATAACGACCTTCTCTGTCCATCCCTCAGAAAAGCTCGGCCACGTTTGTATACCATCTGTACGCCAACTGATCGTGATATTACACAGTCTCCTGGGTAGCAGGTTGCCACTGGCAGATCCGAATGTGTGTATTGCTTGGTGGATCTGATTGTCGTGCAATCGAAGGTGTACCCGTATGTCACGCCGCGCCAGGTACAGGTGCGTCTCAAAACTTCAGCCCTGTAAGGCTTGGTCCAAAACTTTCAAAAACGAGATTTGCATATTTTGTACTTCCTTGGGCCCCGGCTGACGCTGGCTGTTGGGCCCGTGTCCGCATCTGCCCAGAACACCCGGTTCTGCGCTTACCGTGCCGGCGGCAGCTGCCGGACCCGCTGCCCGCGGGCTGGTGGGCCGTGATGACGGTGGTGGCGGCAGCTGCCTGACCCACTGCCCGCGGGCTGGTAGGCCGTGATGACCGTGCCGGCGGCAGCTGCCTGACCCGCTGCCAGCGGGCTGGTAGGCCGTACTGACCGTCGCCCGCCGCGTCGGCAGGGGTTCGTGGCCCGGCCGGCGAAGAACCCGGACGGCACGCTCAACCTGATGCTCTGGGAGTGCGCCATCCCCGGCAAGAAGGGCGTAAGTGCCGGCGCTGTGTTATGACGTCGGTGACTGCGGACACCACGGTCACGGGGGCATGGTTGTCATGTCGCGGTGGCAGACCGAGAAACGGTGGCGCGGCGGGTGGGGCGGCTCGAGCTCGCGCGCTCGCACCTCCAGTCCAGTTTGATGTCAGAGATGAATCGGTCCTGGGGATGGGTTAGGCCGCGTCGCGAGGCAAGCAGTCTCGGTCTTGCCGTGCGGACGCGGGGCTAGTTTGGGACCATTCGCGCATTGTTGGTAGGATCATTCAAGATGCGTTCGGCGGGCAGTTAATCTCGGATGATTGTCCAAGATGTTAAAGACTGCGGAATGGTGCTTGACACCGCCAGCAGGGGAATTATTGCAGATGATTATCCGTGCCACGGTAGACTACCAGGTAATTTTCAGAGCGTGGTCAAGACGGGTAGTTGTTTTCGCCGCGCCTGGCTGTAACCGTTGGCTAAGCATGTCACCTGTGGGACGAAAGAAGGGAACAATTTTGGGACCTGCCGAACGCGAAGCAGCGTGACATTGGGCTTTGGATGACTATCATGCAGAAAATTATTGGTTGAATCATTTCCGTCGGTCGGACGCGTCTAAATGTTCGGCGTAGGTCGGCTATCCGCTGTGTGGTCCCCGATCCAAACGCATTTGGAACAAACATTTCGTGTGCTGGCGAAAAACCAGTTGTCTTGTGATGTTAATGGATGCTCTCGAAGATAAGCTTTAGATTCCGAAATTATTCAAAACACTGTCATGCAATGATTTTGATATCTTTTGTCACCCTAGGCTCATGGTTGGGGTGAGAGGAGGATGGATGGGCCGTGCTCCCCACATTTTTGGCGATTGAAAATTTGCCATTTGAAAATATACGGAAAAGGAAATCCAGCCAACTGTATTGATATAATGGGTTGTGACCTGACCGCTTTGGTGCGCTCTTGCGCCCATATTCCGGCACAGTACGGACCTCTAGCCCAGTTGATAGATCGCCGGATTTCACGTTTGTGCGTGACGTCTGGGTTGAAGTGGCGCCACGAGGGCCTCACATTGGCTCGACAGAGATGTGGAAAGTCAGCTGACCATGCAGAGGTGGGGAGGGGGGGGGGGGGGGTCACCTGATCACGAGCGGTCGGCACACCATACAGAGGTGGGGACGGGGGTCACCTGATCACGGGCGGTCGGCACACCGTACAGAGGTAGGGAGGGGGGGGGGGGTCACCTGATCACGAGCGGTCGGCACACCATACAGAGGTGGGGAGGGGGTCACCTGATCACGAGCGGTCGGCACACCATGCAGAGGTGGGGAGGGGGGTCACCTGATCACAAGCGGTCGGCACACCGTACAGAGGTAGGGAGGGGGGGGGGGGGGGGGTCACCTGATCACGAGTGGTCGGCACACCATACCGAGGTGGGGAGGGGGTCACCTGATCACGAGCGGTCGGCACACCATGCAGAGGTGGGGAGGGGGGTCACCTGATCACAAGCGGTCGGCACACCGTACAGAGGTAGGGAGGGGGGGGGGGTCACCTGATCACGAGTGGTCGGCACACCATACCGAGGTGGGGAGGGGGTCACCTGATCACGAGCGGTGAGCACACCATTCGAAAAAGCACGTGCCATCTAAACCCACGTGCCATCTGAACAAGTGACTACCGGATGTAGTCAGCCATTTTAGCGTTACACTTGAGATGCGTACGATTATTTTTGGCAGCAAGCTCCATGTTGTTTCAGCGAGCAAACAAACTTGCATGTTGTAGGAAAAGCCTTCCAGAGAGGGCCCTTGCTAACCTTGGGTCCTCTTCACGGTTATGTAAGCTACGCCACTTCCGAGTTTTTTTATTAAAGGAAGACTTGCGCCAGAACTCCTTGCTATTTTCTGTTTGTTCATCACACCCCTCTGCGCATGAAGTTGCTCCAGCCAAGTGGCAGGTTTTCTCAACTTGCACGCCAAGTTGCGTGAATAAGTTTGTCGTTGGTATCAGAGTGCGTTGTTCGTGGTAAACACGTAATCTCTCTCTCTCTCTCTCTCTCTCTCTCTCTCTCTCTCTCTCTCTCTCTCTCTCTCTCTCTCTCTCTCTCTCTCTCTCTCTCTCTCTCTCTCTCTCTCTCTCTCTCTCTCTCCTCTCTCTCTGCTCTGTCTCTGTCTCTGTCTCTGTCTCTGTCTCTGTCTCTGTCACTGTCTCTGTCTCTGTCTCTGTCTCTGTCTCTGTCTAGGTCTCTGTCTCTGTCTCTGTCTCTGTCTCTGTCTCTGTCTCTGTCTCTGTCTCTGTCTCTGTCTCTGTCTCTGTCTCTGTCTCTGTCTCTGTCTCTGTCTCTGTCTCTGTCTCTGTCTCTGTCTCTGTCTCTGTCTCTGTCTCTGTCTCTGTCTCTGTCTCTGTCTCTGTCTCTGGTCTCTGTCTCTGTCTCTGTCTCTGTCTCTGTCTCTGTCTCTGTCTCGTCTCTGTCTCTGTCTCTGTCTCTGTCTCTGTCTCGTCTCTGTCTCTGTCTCTGTCTCGGTCTCTGTCTCTGTCTCTGTCTCTGTCTCTGTCTCTGTCTCTGTCTCTGTTCTATGTCTCTGTCTCTGTCTCTGTCTCTGTCTCTGTCTCTGTCTCTGTCTCTGTCTCTGTCTCTGTCTCTGTCTCTGTCTCTGTCTCTGTCTCTGTCTCTGTCTCTGTCTCTGTCTCTGTCTCTGTCTCTGTCTCTGTCTCTGTCTCTGTCTCTGTTCTGTCTCTGTCTCTGTCTCTGTCTCTGTCTCTGTCTTCTGTCTCTGTCTCTGTCTCGTCTCTGTCTCTGTCTCTGTCTCTGTCTCTGTCTCTGTCTCTGTCTCTGTCTCTGTCTCTGTCTCTGTCTCTGTCTCTGTCTCTGTCTCTGTCTCTGTCTCTGTCTCTGTCTCTGTCTCTGTCTCTGTCTCTGTCTCTGTCTCTGTCTCTGTCCCTGTATCTCTCTCTCTCTCTCTTCTCTGCCTTCTCTCTCTTCTCTCCCTTCTCTTTCTTTCCCCCCTCTCTCTCTCTCTCTCTCTCTCGCCCTCTTTTGCTGGAAATAACATCGTCTTTGGTGCGGTTATGCTTTGCCTAGGGAGCGCTTAAAAGCCCTGTGGCAAACAACGCATTCAGCTCGGTGGCAAAGTGTTTGCTCGGCCGCATTTGGCAACGCCGGCCCCGCCGTGCCAAGTTTTCTGCGAACTTGACGCCATCCACAGAGACGAGTGCAGAATGGAATCATCTAGGCTACAGCAGCGTGGGCATTGCTGTGGCGGCGAGAAGTTTCATAACCGCTGCGGAAACGTCGTGTTTACTGTGGCTCGCCTTAATGTTCGACATTAACGCCATCCGCAGCACCGGCGCCGTGCTCAGTATTGTCGGCACCAGCAGCGTCAACATTGGCTTTGGCATGCCTTTCGTCATCGCCGCGGCCATGGTTATACCAGTACGGGCGTAATGATCATTGGCACGGTACCATGCCCGTAGCCGTGGTGCGCGCCGTACACAAATTGATGTTCTGCACCCAACGGACTTCTTGGTGCTCGTGAGACTTCCGAAGCGTCGACCGATGCCGTTTTCCACTTATGAGGGGATGAGGGGGAGGGGGGGGGGTGAATGGAGGGGGAGGGGGCGGGAGGAGCGCAAGTCATACAGTTTTGGGCGAGCATGTATAGCGGCGAACGACGGATGTCGCCTGTGGGGGCGGGGACAGGTTCCAGTTCTACTCGATGCCTCGCTTGCACGATGCCTCGATGCCTCAACGCACCTGCGCTCGTAACCGCGCTCAAAAGACAGCTACTGACGATGACCTCGGTCCACACGCTGTCACGCAGACGGCCTGGGAGGGCGGCTACTACAAGCTGAAGATGATCTTCAAGGACGACTACCCCACGTCGCCGCCCAAGTGCAAGTTCGACCCGCCGCTGTTCCACCCCAACGTCTATCCGTCCGGTGAGGGGGCCGCGCGGGCCGGCGCTGCCGGTGGCGAGGTGGGCTGATGGAACTGGTGTTCACCTGCGCGAAGTTGGCGCGTGTGACAGCTCTACCGGTCCGCGGGCTGGCTGCAGGGATTGATGAGTCAGGTGCCTGTTGAACCGTCCGCGGTGCAGACAACTGCCATAACCACGAGTGTCTCTAGGTCGGAGAGAAACCGACACGGAAGTCGCCCTTTAGCCGAGAGCCTTGGTAACTCAGTTGATCAGTGGGTGAACATTCTATTGCCGTGCTCATAGGCTCACTCGAGCGGCGCCTGTGTGCAGAGTGAGGCTATGCTGTGCTTCTGGTGACAGTCTGGTGGTAGTGCTTGCTGGCTGCTGAGAGCGGTGACAGTGTTTTCCTGTTGCGTGATGTTCGTCTGGCATGCGGCGGGTGCTCCCGGTGATCTGTGACCTCCGTAACCTGTGAACTCCGTGACCTGTGACCTCCGTAACCCGTGAGCTCTATGGTCTGACCTCCGTAGCCTGTGAGCTCCGTGATCTGTGACTTCCGTGACCTGCGAGCTCTGGCCCGTGAGCTCCGTGAACTATTGGTTCCGTGACTGCTACCTTCGTGACCTGTGACCTCCGTGACCTGTGTCGTGACCCGAGCGCCGGGCGGCTCCAGGCACGGTGTGCCTCTCGCTGCTGGACGAGGAGAAGGACTGGCGGCCGGCCATCACCATCAAACAGATCTTGCTGGGCATCCAGGACCTGCTCAACGACCCCAACATCAAGGACCCGGCCCAGGCAGAGGCGTACACCATCTACTGGTGGGTCACGGCCGTCCCCTTCCCCCCTGGAGCCCCCCCCCCCTCCCCGGCGGCGCCGTCAGTAGAGGCTGCGACGCCAGAGGCGCGGACGGTCGGGCGTCGGTCGTCAGCCCGGAGAATGAAACAATGGAATGTGGCCGGGAGTGGCTGCGGGCGTGACGCCGGACTCGTATGTTCTCCGTTATTGCGGGAGATCCGATTCGGCGGCGCTCTGGCTCAAGCGGGGGATCGCGATAGAGGGCTCACCACTCACGGCCATCGGCTCCAGGGACGGCCGGGCGGAGGAGACGGTCGCGTTGGGAACAACTAACTGACGAGAGGGGCGGGGGAGGATGCCAATCCAGTCAGTCAGGCGCCCGGGGTGAGAAGCAATGCATACCAGTGGTTATCTTGCAAGGTTTATGGGTGCCATTGCATTGGTTCCACTGCAAAAGGTCGGTTGGTAGCTTTGATGATATCAAATCGTGTTCTCGCTATCTTACAGCCGGTGTTGAATTCTGGAGGGCCGAAGGCACTGCAGCCAAAGGTCTGCTTATCATTTTAGATACCGTCGTCAAAGAGCGCGTGCCAGGTGTGGATAAGTTGGTGGATGGGCTCTTGTGAAAACTGACTGTCGCAGCATTGACCCCGACCGCCCCAGCCAGTCATCCCTCTAATCATCTCCGAAATGGGTTTTAGCTCGTGTGGTTTTGTGAATGGTGCTCTCATGTCGGCGGCAGCCGGTCCCCGATCAGGGCGTCCCGGAGCGTCCAGTGGGCGGCACACCACCTCACCCGCATCGTCCCTTTTCAGTCAAAATCGGCTCGAGTACGAGAAGCGCGTGCGCGCCCAGGCGCGGGCAATGTCCGCCCCTCTGGACTGAAGTGGACTCGCCCGGCGGCGGCGGGGCGCCGTCTGCGGGCTTGGGGCCTGGCTGCGAAAGAGGAACCGGACCGCGAGCTCCCAGACCATGGTGCCAGTGGCACTCCTCCGAGCTGGTGTCTTGCTGTGCTGCACTACGGAACTGTTCCCCGGGCTGAGACAAGCGTCCACTCAGAGCGTTTGCGGCCGGCGTGGTACGAACAGATCCGCCATGTCGGCAAGCGGCGATGAGTCTGGAAGGTGTCCAGCCGTGTAGAGAGCAGCCGCATCGGTGGACCCGAGGCGGAATCTGTCAGTGCGGCGTGTGAATTCGGTCACTACACCGTCATTTTACTTTCTTAGCTGCAGGAGAGCTCACTGGAAGAAACGTGCGTGGGTCTTGACCCGAGATTTTCCACTGTACTTGTCACTCGAGGCGTGTTGATGTACTGTGCGTGCGCGCGTGAGCCGCGCGTACAGCCTTCCACGCGGTGTTTTGTTCCGTTCGCCGCCCTTCTGCACCGAGTCGGTCTGCGGCAGACGTCCGGTGGAGCTGTTTTATCGAGACGGAGAGCAGCTTGTAATAAAATCACATCGCCATTGGTGGGTGTTTCATGTGTTCCGTCTTTCCCTTGCTGGGTGATTTATGGCCTGTACTGCCGTGCCGTGCCGTGCCGCGCGCTTCGATGGTGCCGGCCTCCGCGGGCACCGGGGGATTTGTCGGCGCGCCATTAGCACGCGGCGTATTACGCCGCGTCGCTTCATTAAATCCAGGTTAAATCCCCGCCTCGTGCCCGCGGTTATGCGTCTGTGAATGGACGCATCTGCTCGTAATGCATTCCATTGTGGTATGCACCATCTGGTCTGAAATCGATGCGCGCATTGTTAAAAATTTCACCGCAATGTCGCCCGACATCGGACGTGGCTGGCGCTGCGTCGGTCCGGCGCAGCTTGGTCACTGCCGCCTGCAGGCCGAGGCTCCTTCACGCGACAGCAGAAAAGAAGCAGGTGTAAAAGCAGGTGCTGCGAGTTATGGACGGAACACGTAAAATTGACCACGCTCTCGTGATGTCGCGCACGTGGCGGTGTGAGCGCGAAGCTTTTTTTGTCATTTGCGCGCTTTGGCGAACGAAGGCTTCGTTTGCCACACGCACGGCCCAATGGCAGGGACACCTTGCTTGCAAACGAATCTTCCTTATATGTGCGACTCAGTGGCGTTCTTTCCACTGACTGACCTACACCGCAGGTGGCTTCACGGCACTGACAGGTTCCGCCTCGCGGGTGTGGGGCGCTGAGAAAATGAATCCCAAAGTGGAGCTCGAATGACTGCTCCCCGAAAACGAAAGTCGGCAGTTAGACAACAGACTAGGGTTAACTGATTGCATGAAGACGATCTCAACACCGACTCTCCATCCGTGTGTGGGCAGAGAGGCTGCCCAAAGTCGTCTGCACGCTGGGGCCTAGAAGTCCGCCGCGCCATAGGAAATCAACACGCATTCGGTGAGCATTTCTATTTACCAACACGTGACGTCGCCACTCCTCGCGGGTCCGCTCTGGAATGGCCAGCGGTCGAGAACACGAGAGGAGTCCGCACACTCCAGCGCAAGGACGGACGGCTTCGAAGCGGCTGGCCTTCGCACCTGCCTCACCCTACCCCGTCTGAGGCTGCTCCACGCCGGGCACGCACGCCTCCAGCCCAAACTGAGGATCACTTCTTCCACACACAAACATCAACTGAAGATGGCAGGGTGCCGGCGGCCCGCGAGCGCCGTAACAACGATACAGGACGCGGGCGCGGGGGTCGGCGCCAGCCACCCGCAAGAGCAAGGTCGCGCGGCGTCAGCCAATCAGCACCCGCAAAACACGCCTCGGCCAGACGCCGGCCAATCGGGAGACGGGATTCTCCCCCTAGCGACACTAGAACCGCGACCCGGACCGCAGCCCGTGATATGCCCGCCGACTCGGATCCGGCGGCTGCGCACTCTTCTTACAACAAAAATAAATAATATTGCACTTGAGAATTTGCGTCACGTCGGCCCGGCGCCCGGAATCGGCCCTCCGGCGCCTCCGCCGCGGCGGAGGCGCTCAGGCCGCTCAGTCTGCACCGGCGTCGAGACCGACGAAGGTGCGGTCGTCGCACGAGCCCGTGTAGCCGCTGTCGACGGCGTCGGGCGGCGCGCCGCTCGACAAGTCCAGGAACAGCTTGTCGCGCGCCGGCCGCGCCGCCGTCGCCGCCGCGCCCGCGTCTCCGGAGGCGGCCGGCGCGGCCGGGGGCCGCTCCGGCCGCCCCCTGGTGGCCGGCGAGCGGTTCTGCTCGCCGTCTGCCGCCACCGTCGCCAGGCCGGGAGTCATTTGTTCGATGCGTCGGGCGTCGTCTGCCAACTGATCCGCCACCACCGGGTGCTTCGCGCGGTCTTGCTCTGCGTGTTCCCCTCGCTCCGAGGATTCCGTCGGCTCCTGCCGTCGCTCCGTGTGTGGATGTTGCCACTCGGCTCGCTCCGCGCCTCCCATCAGCTGTCCGTGCCGTCCAGTCTGCTCCCCCAGCCGGTCCTCGGCGGACGTCATACGCGTCATCAGCTGATCCGCACGCTCCTCCGCCGCCGTCGGACGACCGGTCGGCCAGCCCTCCCCGGCTGGTGCCGACAACGAGCCACTCTCCTCCGGCTCGTCTGGCGTCTCCACCGGCTCCCGATCGACGCCGCGCGGCGTCCAGACGTCCGCCGGCCGGGCGGTCTCCTCCGGCGCCGCGGCCGCGCCGCCGGCCACCTCCATCGGCTCGCGCTCAGCGCCGCCGCCGCCCCAAACGTCGACCAGCCGCGACAGCTCGTCGTCGCGCTCTCCGGCCGCCGCCGCGCCGGGCGGCGCCCACACGTCGGCCGCGCCGGCACCCGGGAACAGCTCGCCGGGCGTGAACGAGGAGCCGCCGGCGAACGCGCCGCCGGCCAGGCCGGGCCGGATGAAGAAGCCGTCCTCGTCCTCGTCGTCGCCGCCGCCGCCGCCGTCGGCCGCCAGGAAGTAGGGCGAGGCGGCGGCGGCGGTCGGCAGCCGCGGCGCCTCGCGGTCCGGCGACTCGGGCAGCTCCGTCAGCGACACGTCCTCGATCTCCTCCTCGTCCAGCTCCCAGTCGGTGTAGTGTGAAACGGACGCCTGCCGACGCGCACACACACGCGTCATCAGACAGCAGGCGGCCGCGCATGCGCTTCGCGGGCCTACCAAGCACGCACGCGCATCCCGTATCACCGTCCGCCGACAAAGATTGCCAGATTGTTGACGCACGTAACCGCCAAGGTTACGTGTCCCTTTGTTGATGCCAGTTTGTTGATGCACGTTACCGCCGTCAGCCCCTCGGACGGAACTGAGGCCCGTGTGGGCAGCCCCCGGTCAGATCCAGCCCGGGATTGGAACGGAACACGACGTACACACCCTTCCCTCTCGGCCAGTGCGTCCTGACGGACGTTATTAACGCCATCTACCCAGCCCCAATGGCACCTTAAAGCAGTCGCATCTGGAAACGGCCGAGACTGAGCGGTCTTCCAGCCCACCACCTCCCGCTCAACGCTACCACCGCCCGCCCATGGTGGCAGCTAGGTCCCACGTGTGGAGCAGAGGCGCAGCACACCACGGCAGCAGCCACCGACCACACGCCATCACGAACTCGGCGGGCGGCGCGCGTTCGACCCCGCGCGCTCGACACCACTCCCGGACCAGCACGCAGACAGCTCACCCAAAGCAGAGCTGTCTGCATCCAGCGCGGGCCGCGCCGTCACACAGACTCCTGAAGCGCTGTCGACAACGCACCCGCCGCCCGCACCCTCCCCGCAACTCGGCCCGCTAGCCGCCTCCGCCTCCGCCTCCGCCGCCGCGCGGCGCCGGGCCACCCACCGGCGCGACGAAGGACCAGGTGCGGCGGCCGGCCGGCTGCGGCGCCGCCGCCGGCTCCGGCGAGGCCGGCCCCAGATCGGGCGACGGCGACGCCAGCGGGTACTCGTAGATGCGGTGGTGCTTCTGGCGCTTGAAGCTCACCGACTTGCGCAGCTCCTGTCGGTGGCGGGGCAGGGTCGGGTCAGTGGAGCCCAGCCCAGCCAGAGTGGACGGCACACGGCGCGCCTGAGAAACAGGCTTGACCGCAGTCATGCCGCCACCGACAGTAACAGTGAACACAGTAAGTGACGTCGTCACGCGCCCCCAGCAGCGGCGGTGCACGTACGGCGCGGCGGCTCGGACCGACCGTCGGGTGTCACGTCAGGTGTCATGGGTCACGTGTCACGCGCCCCCAGCAGCGGCGGTGCACGTACGGCGCGGTGCTCGGGCGACCGGAGCAGACTGTGACCCGGCTCCTTGTCCTGGCGCCACACGCTCGGCGTGAACTCCTCCTCGCCCGACTCCGAGTCCGGGTCCGAGTCGGACTCGGAGTCGGCCGACTCGGTCGGCGGCGCGCCGGCGCCCTCCTGTCAGCAGGAGACGTGTCACAGCGGCGACTGGACGCGGGCTGGACGGCGCGGGACTGAGGCACAGCGCGTGGGGACGAGAGGCAGTCAAACTCGCCGGACCACGCCACGCTGCCGCCTCACACGACCGGACGCCAACCAATACCATGCAGCTTGTCTACCCGCACAGTACTTCCCGCCAACGACGCTTTACAGCCGACTTCCAACGACCTGTGCATCACTCTGAGACGTGAAACAACCTCTGCGATGTCATGCCAGACGTAAACGATCGCAACTATCCCAGATTCACACCCCGAGCACCCGATCGACCACTCTCTCACTCCCACCCCAGCGAGCGGGCTTGACCAGCGCGCCGCTCAGCTGGCCAACGCGCCGCTCTGCTGACCAGCGCGCCGCTCTGCGAGACCAGTGTCAGTCTCTGCCGCCGGCCCGCCTGCCGCGCTGCTCACCTGCCAGACGAACTCGCCGCTGGTCGAGCTGAGCGCGTCCTCGTCATCGTCGGCCTCCCAGTCCGGAGTGTAGCGGCCCTCGTCATCAACCGGCGACAGCCCCCACTCCTGGTTCAGTCGGCGCAGCTGCTGCTCCCGCTCGGGCACGCCCAGCTGCACATTCAGCTGACGCAGCCGCTGGCGGCGCGCCGCCGACTCCGACGCCGCCCACAGGTCCGGCTCGTCCAGGAAGGCCGCCTCGCTGAGGGCGCCACCGTCGCCGCCGGCCGCCCCCACCGGGCCGGCCGGCGCCGCCGCCCCCTCGGGGCTCGCCGCCGACTCCTCCGGGCCGTGGGAGCTTAGCCGGGGCTCGCGCGGCTCATCCGACTCGTCCGCGCTCGCCGGCCGCCTCTCCGCCGCGCCCCCGTCCAGCGCCGGCTCCTCCGCGCCGCCGGGGCTCGCCGCCGACTCCTCCGGCCGGCGCGCGCCCGCCGGCGCCTGCCGCGGCGCGCGCTGCTCGCCGCCGTCGCCCAGCTCCGGGTCCTCGTGCGGCCCGAGTGTCTCGGCGGCGGCCTCCTCCAGCAGCTGGGTGCGCGCGTAGCGCAGCGGCGGCGCCCACGCGACAGCACCCGCCTCCGAGTCGGACGACGACAGCCCGTCGTCGTCCCCGAACGCGCGCACGTCGTCGTACGTCGGGATGGCCGCGTCGATGTCCAGCTCCTCGGCGGTCAGCGCGGCGGCCGAGGAGGCGGCGCCGGCGCTCCGCGGCACCGGCTCGCCGGACGGCGGGAACGAGAAACGACGTTCCGTCTGTCGACACATGTGCGCCATATGATCAGTGTGGTCGGTGCGTCCCAAAGCCCAAATCTTCATATTAATCGTCTTTCGGCACGGCCGGGCACGGTCAGTGACGGCCCCGAGGCTTTGTAGGGACAGTGTCTGGTCCCGCTATCTCGTCAACCAGAGAGGCTGGACACTGCTGATGCCAGCGGCTACGACCATCCTTCCGCCACAGCCCGTCATGCAGTCCAGCTCGTACACTTGGAGCACCGGACGCACCACAGGTAGTCCAGAGGCTTCAGCTCCGCCTCTCTTTCCAGACCTGTCTCCTGGCAGTCCTCCTCAGGCGTCCCCTGGCGGCGCAGTCACCTCTCCCCTCCCCCCATCTACCCACCCACCCACCCGAGTGCTGCCCCGGCGTCCCTTCGGCGCACCCCACCAGGTGGCGCCACCCCACCGCCGCCCGCTCCCAGACCCTTCCTCCCCCCCACCCCTCCAGCGCCCGACCCGACCGGCAGCGCCCGCGCCGCCGCTCACCCGGTGGTACATCTCGCCGTGGCTGAGCACGTCGTAGTGCGGCCGGGCCGGCAGCGAGGCCGGCTGCTGCGGCGCGGCCTCGGAGCCGGCCGCCGGGTACTGCCAGCTGACGGGCGCCGGCTCGACGCGCGCCGCCCAGCCGCCGGGGCCGGCCGCCGCGCTGCCCGCCAGGTCGTACGAGGCCACCGAGCGCGTGATGCCGGCCGCCGCCGACTCGTCCACCGGCAGGCTCTCGTAGTCGCCTGTGATGGGGGCGCGCGGCGTCACGCGGGGGCGCGCGCGGTGCCGGCACGGCTCTGAACCGGACAGCGCCCCGGACAACGCTATACGGGTGATGACGGGTTTGAAATCAGCACAAACAATGGCCAGCAACTCTCAATACAGCTGGGATCGGTGCGCGCTGTCATCGCCATACACACGAATGCGCAGATGTCGATATTGGGCGGGTCGAATCATTTCACCTTGGTAAAGCATGAACGTTTGCAGCGGATGACAACGACCTGATTCAATCCTCGTGATTGACTGACTCATCGCAGCCGGACACGGCTCTCGGAACCGGAAGACACCGGAAGAAACGCGTGACTCAGAAGCCCGTCATAGAGTCACAGAGACACAACCTACCACGGCGGCGAACACCGCTCAGCAGCCGTCTACGCCGAGGCCGACGCCGCGGCCACTCACCTTCGTAGTCCGAGTCGGCGCCGTCGGCGGTGTTCTGCTCGGCGCCGGCCGGCAGCAGCTGGTCCCCGCGCACGTCGGCGTCGCCCACCAGGTCGAAGCGCGCGGCCAGCGGCGCCACCGGCGGCGACGGCTCGTCGCCACGCGCCACGAACGCCACGTGCGAGCGCGGCCGGCCGCCCTCCAGCAGGTGCGCCTCGTGCGACTCCGTGTCCACCACCAGCACGTCCGAGTCGGAGTCCGAGTCGGAGTCGGAGCCGGCCGGCCGGCGGCGCGGCGGCGGTGTGGCGCCTGGCAGCGGCGAGTCCAGGTCTTGCAGCAACAGGGCGGCGTCGCCCTCCGCCGCCGTCGCCGGGGCTGGGGCTGGTACCGTCTCCTCTAGTGTGGCCTTCTTGTCTGTCGACACTGGGACAGCCTCATCCGCCGGGACTGGAACCGTCTCCTCTAGTGTGACCGTCTTGTCTGCCGACACTGGGACAGTCTCATCCGCCGGGGCTGGTACCGTCTCCTCTAGTGTGGCCGTCTTGTCTGCCGACACTAGGGCAGCCTCATCCGCCGGGGCTGGAACCGTCTCCTCTAGTGTGGCCGTCTTGTCTGCCGACACTAGGACAGCCTCATCCGCCAGGGCTGGAACCGTCTCCTCTAGTGCGGCCGTCTTGTCTGCCGGCACTGGAACAGTCTCATCCGCCGGGGCTGGGGCCGTCTCCTCTAGTGTGGCCGTCTTGTCTGCCGACACTGGGGTAGTCTCATCCGCCAGGGCTGGTACCGCCTCCTCTAGTGTGGTCGTCTTGTCTGCCGACACTGGGGTAGTCTCATCCGCCGGGGCTGGTACCGTCTCTAGTGTGGCCGTCTTTGTCTGCCGGCACTGGGGTAGTCTCATCCGCCGGGGCTCGGTACCCGTCCTTCCTCTAGTGTGGCCGTCTGTCTGCCGGCACTGGGGTAGTCTCATCCGCCGGGGCTGGTACCGTCTCCTCTAGTGTGGCCGTCTTGTCTGCCGACACTGGGGTAGTCTCATCCGCCGGGGCTGGTACCGTCTCTAGTGTGGCCGTCTTGTCTGCCGGCACTGGGGTAGTCTCATCCGCCGGGGCTGGTACCGTCTCCTCCAGTGTGGCTGTCTTGTCTGCCGACACTGGGACAGCCTCATCCGCCGGGGCTGGAACCGTCTCCTCTAGTGTGGCCGTCTTGTCTGCTGACACTGGAACGGTCTCATCCCCCGGGGCTGGTACCTTCTCTAGTGCGGCCGTCTTGTCTGCCGGCACTGGAACAGTCTCATCCGCTGGGGCTGGTACCTTCTCTAGTGTGGCCGTCTTGTTTGCCGACACTGGGACAGTCTCACGCGCCAGGACTGGAACCGTCTCCTCTGGCGTGGCCGCCTCGTCTTCCTGCACGAAAATAAACCCGTCCGCCTCTGCCGACACTAACACAAACCCGTCTGCCGACACTGGGTCAGCCTCGTCCGGTGTGACCTCGTCTACGGGCGCTAGTACAGCCTCATCCGCCGGCATTAAGGCCGTCTCTCCTGTTGCGGTCAGCCTCTCCGCCAAGTCCGGAGCAGCTTCCTCTTCCATGGCTTTTTCCTCCCTCCGGGTATCCAGCCCGATTAAGCCAGCCTCCCCGGCCGGTACGAGAACAGGGCCTGCCATCGGTCGGAGATCGCCCGCTGGCGCGGAGATCGTCTCCCCGACTGACGTCGGGGCGATCTCCTCGGCTGGCGTTGTTGAGACTGCACCCTGTGCCCGCGTCGGAGTCGTCTCCTTCGTTGGCACCAGGGCGATCTCGTCTGGCGACGTTGGTACCATCTCCTCCGAAGGTGTTCGAACCGCTCCCTCCGCCGGCTCTGGGGTGATCTCCGCCGCTTCCGGGGGGATCTCCGCTGGTTCTGGGGTGATCTTCGCTGGTTTCGGGATGATCTCCGCTTGTTCCGGGGTGATCTCCGCCGGTTCCGGGGTGATCTCCACCGGTTCTGGGGTGATCTCGGCCGGTTCTGGGGTGATCGCCGGTTCTGGGGTAATCTTCGCTGGTTCTGAGGTGATCTCGGCCGGTTCTGGGGTAATCTTCGCTGGTTCCGGGGTGATCTCCGCTTGTTCCGGGGTGATCTCCGCCAGTTCTGGGGTGATCTTCGCTGGTTCCGGGATGATCTCCGCTTGTTCCGGGATGATCTTCGCTGGTTCCGGGGTGATCTCCGCCGGTTCTGGGGTAATCTTCGCTGGTTCTGAGGTGATCTCCGCCGGTTCTGGGGTAATCTTCGCTGGTTCTGGGGTGATCTCCGCCGGTTCTGGGATGACCTCCCCTGTCAGTTCTGGGGTGATCTCCGCCAGTTCTGAGGTGATCTCCGCCGGTTCTGGGATGACCTCCCCCGTCAGTTCTGGGGTGATCTCCGCCAGTTCTGAGGTGATCTCCGCCGGTTCTGGGATGACCTCCCCCGCCAGTTCTGGGGTGCTCTCCGCCAGTTCTGAGGTGATCTCCGCCGGTTCTGGGATGACCTCCCCCGCCAGTTCTGGGGTGATCTCCTCTGGTGGCGGGGCGATCTCCGCCGGTTTTGGGATGACCTCCCCCGCCAGTTCTGGGGTGATCTCCTCTGGTGGCGGGACGATCTCCCCCACTGGCGTCGGAACAGTTTCTTCCATCATCGTCGGAACCGTCTCTCCCGACACTGTGGAAACGGTCTTCTTCACCACTGTGGGGACTCCTTCGGTTTCTTCCGCAGATGTTGGATCCGTCCCGGTGGTCTTGGGCTGAGCACGCTCATTCCTTTCAGACATAGCCAAGCTGGAGATGTGGCTTACAACGACCACATCCTGGCCTTCATGTTCGGGGCACCGCGCCTCGGTCAGAAGCTCCAAATCAGCTGCGCCGGCCTGGTGACCGGCGTCGCCGGCATCAGCTACGGGGTCGACATCAGCTGCGGGGCCGACATCACCTACGGAGCTGACATCAGCTGCGGAGCTGACATCAGCTACGAGGCCAACATCAGCTGCGAGGTCGACATCAGCTACGTCGCCAGCACCAGCTGCGGAGCCGGCATCAGCTGCGGAGCCGGCATCAGTGGCGAGCGCCGGAGTCTCCCGCCGCACCTCCTCCCAGCCGGCCGGAGCGCCGCCAGGAGAGCTCCCCTGCTCTGGCCCCGCCGGGTCATCGACTCCGCCGACGTCAGCCGGCCAGCCCGGCGACGCCAGCCCGTTGAGCGTCGGCGCCGACTGGCTGGCCGCGGCGGCCAGGCGCACCAGGCTGGGCACCTCCGCCTCCTCCGCGGCCGTGTCCGACAGGCTCGGTGCCTGCTTCTCGCCGGCGATGGAGAGCAACGCGTCCTCTTGGTCGCCGGTGACGTTTGTCGCTGAAGTTGACAGCCTGTTGGAGCCGTTCACGTGATGTGCCATCCACGCCTCGGCATCGGACGGCGTTATTCATGAGCTCCTTAAGCTCAGCAGCCTCCTGAGCTTGTGCTCTCATGCATATGACGTCACTGGTTTTGGGTATGAGCTCACTCGCCACCGGACCTTCCAGCCCGGCCATCTCGCTATTCTGCTTCTGCGAGTCACCGACCTCGTCCTTCCTCTCCGCACTGCCGATCAGGACTCCGGCCACCTCCAGCCGGTCTGTGACGTCCCGTTTGTGCCCAGGCGCACCACCGACGGACCCTGCGCAGTTCTCCACAGCCGCCAGGTCCGGCGGCGCTTGCTCTGCCCTCTGCACCGACTGCCTCTCACACGAGTCCCCCGACCGCTGGGCGGCCGCTGCGACGCCGCTCCCCTCGCCACTCTCCCTCCGCGCCTCGACGTGGCCGCCTGTCAGCTGACCACGTGACGTCAGCACTCGGTCGCCACGACTCGGCAGCTCCGGCGGCAGCCTCCTCCTCCTCGGCGGCGGGGGCGTCCCGCTCGGGTTCGGCGTCCGGCTCGAGCTCGCCGGTTGCCGGCCGGTCGCCATCGCCGCTCGACTCGCGACTCGAGTCGACTCGAGTCTCGGGCAGGCCGGCCAGGCCGCCCACCGGCGCGATCTCCACCTGCCGGCGGAGCGTGAGCGTGGGCCGCGTGAGATGACAGAGGTGGACGTCAGCGGCGGCGGATGGACGGGGGACGCTGTCAGCTGTGGGAGGCGGCGGCTGGACGGGGGGGGGGGGGGGGGACGCAGATGTACTCTCGGAGACAGAGGCCGGGGAGGAGGGCGCTCAGGCAGCGGACGGCCATTGCCTTGGGTGAGCACGACAGACGGACGAGCACACCAGCAGACCGCGACCCGGGCCCGGCTCTGGCCGTGTCGGGCGACCCGGCGTGTCTGCCGGCGGTGACCCGAGGGAGCCGGCATCACCGGCTAGGGGAATTGCACGAGAGGCATTGGGGGGGGGGGGGGGGGCGATTTAATTCAGTTGAAATTATCGGGCGGCCTTCATGAGATGTTAAGGCCAGTGACACATAGCCATTAATGGCTAGTGTGCAATGAATGAAGCATCAGAGAATGCGATCAGGTATGAAGAATGCACCAGTTACAGACGTACTTCGGCGTTTGGAGTCATGGGCAAAGATGGCAGTCTATAGCGCAACATAAAAACGGATCACGGAGGATTGCGGTGTCCATTTCAGATCAATGGTGCTTTTCAGTGCTCCAATACGTTACAGTACTCAGCAATCAGTTACAAATTAAATATTGATGTCGCTCTTAGGTTGCCCCTATTTCTATAGATTAGACAGTAGTATTAGCCTTATTCCTCGGCAAAACCAGGAGAGTAGAGATGTAGTTAGGTCGATATTTCGGCAACATGCCTTTCTCGAAACAAAGGTGGAAGTGAACATTTAGTCATATATTAATTATTATAAGATCAAATTTCATAATAATGATATAATTATATCATTATATTCATACATTAATAAGTAACATAGACAAATAATTAGTCACTTCTGCTATTGTTTCGAGAAAGGCATGCTGTCGAAATATTATCCTAACAATATCTCTATTCTCCTGTTTTTTTCCGAGGAATAAGGCTAATACTACTGTCTTATCTATGTGACTAATGTTCCCGCTAATGCACTGAACAGCTTACGTAATTTTGCCACAATTTCTTATCGATTTTATCGCCCTGGAGAGACACTTGATAAACTACACATGCAGTAGATTAGTGGCAATACTGCGCGGTGAATACGAAACTATTTCCAAAGCGAAAGCTACCTGTCCGGGCAGTTCGACACTGTTCCGTGATGGGCCAAACCGATGCGGATGGAGACGCCTAACACTGCCCCGTGATGGACCAAACCGATACGGATGAAGACGCCTAACACTGTCCCGTGATGGGCCAAACCGATGCGGATGAAGACGGCAGACGCGTCTGACATATCCTTACTAGAAAACCCGTACAACAAACGTTTGCGCACGTTAATTCAAGCACCGGCCCCCCGAGAGCTCTGAGGTGGAGCTATAGCAGCCAGTGGGTGGCTTCAATACCACAGCCTTAGGATTTTCAGCAACCAACTCTCGCTTTCGACAATCAGCATACTAGACTACATGATCAGAACCGCTTTGCATAACCCGATAAAATACGAATATCAATGCATCAATATCGAACAAAACCTGGTCCAGGCGTCAACACTTCTGGATTAGTGCTCTGTCTACTGGACGCAAGACCAAGCAAATCCACTGTAAGAATATACTAGTAGAAGTTGTCGCGCTTGGGCATGCGGTCAGCTCACGCTAACAGCGCTGTTTTGTATCATTTTGTCCGAGCAAAATAGCAAAGAAGGAATCAAAGCCTGCTTTCACCGAGAGAAGTGCAAGAAAAGGTCATGGAAAAAGAGCACCAGCGCCAAAACAGGCCCCCCAGGATGACAGACACTGAAGGCATGTTGAAGATAGGACAGAGAGAATACAAGGTCACACCCCGATCACCAACAAGAGCTATAGCTGAGACGGTCCGGACCGCCCGTTGACAGGTCTGGTCTGCAGGACCCTGCTCACGACCGCGCTGCTTCTGTTCACAGAACCCAGACTGACCTCGACGAAGTCGTCGTCCTCATCGCGCCAGCTGTCCGGTATTTGGTCGGGAGGTCGCTGCTCGCAGTCGTCGTCCTCCTCCTCGCCCTCGCTGATCGTCTCCAGGCCGGGCACGGCCGGCGGGCAGAACACAGCCGACGCGGGCGCCGCCTGCTCCGGCTCCGGCGCCAGCTCCAGCTCCAGCTCCGGCACCGGCAGCGCCCGGCGCAGCTCCTCGCGCACCGCGTCCAGCGCCGAGCAGCGCTCCTCCAGCGCGCCGGCGTCGGCCAGCGCCAGCTCGAAGCACCCGCTGCCCTCGCCGCCCAGTCCGAGCTGCTCGAACCCGCCGCTGCCCCGCCGGTCCCGCGGCGCCGCCCCCGCCTCCTCCTCGTCAGCCTCCTCCGGCGCCGCCTCGTCCAGGAACATGGCGCGATAGTCCCGGCGGCGCGGCGACTGGCGGCGCGCCTCCTCCACCAGCAGCGCCGTCTGCTCGGCGGCGCGCTGCAGGCTCTGCCAGAACTGGCCGTCGTCCAGCGGCGGGTCAGCGGTCGGGGCGCCGCCGGCCGCCGCCGCCTCCGACGCCAGCATGTACTTGCGGCTGGGATCGGCGGCCACCAGCGGCAGGTCAACGCCCGACAGCTCGAAGCCGCCGCTGCCGTCCAGGCTGGTCAGGCCGTTTTCCGCGTCGCCGACCGAGTCCAGCGGCGCCGCCGCGTCGACGGCGGCGGTGGCGCAGCCGGCGCCGGTGCCACTCTCAGGGTCGGCGTGCAACGACGCGGTGCCGACGTCGTCGACGACGGCGGTGGCGCAGCCGGCGCCGGCGCCACTCTCAGGGTCGGCGCGGAACGACGCGGTGCCGACGTTGTCGACGACGACCGGCCGGCTGGACCTGGGCGTGTTGCAGCCGTCGCCACCGTCGCAGGCATCGCCGGAGGTGGCGGCGTCTGCAGCGGAGTCGAGCCCGCCCCGCCCGACGGCGCAGCTCGAGCCATCGTCCACCGCCGCCGCCAGGGATCCCTCCTGATGCGAGGAGTCTGTCATCTCGGGCTCCACCGCGTCAGCCAAGCTGTCATCGGGGCCGTGTGGCGCCGTCGGCATCAACACCGGCGCCAAGATCGCCTCCGCGAGGACCGGGAACAACTCCAGAGCCGCTGGCGCCTCGATCACGGCCGCTGGGGCCTCATGCACAAACCCTGGGGCATCCACTGGGCGCACTTGGGATTTATCCAGCATCTCCGAGACATCGGCGAGCGCTGTGCTCTTCGCCGACGTCAGCACGTCGTCGGCGAGGGCCAAGAGATCTACAGGAGCGACACTGCCCTCAAGAGATTCCGTTGCTTCAACGGATAACGCCTTCTCCCCGGTCACCATCGTGGCTTGCTCCGAGAGCGCTGGATCCTCCGCAGGCGACGTCATCTCCTCCGCCGGTTCCGCGCCCTCGGCGGGCGGCGCGGCCGCCTGCGCCCGGCCCGGCGCCTCAATGACGGTAATCACATCGGCGGAGAGGCGGCGCGCGCGCGCCGGCGAGCCGGCGTCGTCGGCCGACTCCCACAGCTTGGAGGGCGCCAGCTCGGCGCGCGAGCCGAGCGAGCGCACCTCGTCTTCGTCGGGCAGCTCGGCTAGCTCGTCGCACGTGCTGTGGCCGAAGGTGGAGCTGAGCGAGGGGCTGCGCGCCGGCGAGCCGCCCTCGCCCGGCGCCGGGCTGAGCGGCGCCGGCGAGCCGGCCGTCCCCTCCGGTGCCCTGGCCGGCTCGGCGGCGCCGGGGCTCGCGTCGCTCGCGTCGCCGGCCGGCTCGTCCGGGTCCCGGCCGCCGTCCTGCAGCGCCGCGTCCCAGCCGCCGTCGTCCGGCTCCGAGTCGAGCAGCGCCGCGTCGCAGCCGGGCTCGCTGTCCACGCTCACGGCGTCCGCCTCGGTGGTGGCCACGGCCGCGTAGGCCGGCGCCGACTGCCGACTGCCCATCGCGGCCTCCTCCTCGGGCCGCGTCGGTGTCGTGTCAACCGCGCTCTGGTACGACGAGTCGATGTATTCGCTGAAGTTGGGGCTGTGAGCTCTGGGCGTGCTCGTCAGGTGCTGCCGGCCCGCTTCACCACGGTCACTGTCCTCCGCGCGGGCGGACGCGCTGTCCGCCGTGAAAAACGCCTCACTCGTCGCCGTGGAGTCTGCCCGGTCGGACGCCGCACTACTCTCCAGCGCACTGGCCACACTGCTCTTTTCATTCAGCACAAATCTGAAAGCACGAGACTCACTAGCTGGGGGCTCCTCCACCGGCGAAAGCTGCACTGTCTCGTCAGCCGCCGGCGGCCGCGGCGGCGTCGCTTCCACCACGCACAGCTGGGGCACTGCATGCGAGGCGTGCGCGGGGACAAAGCCGTGGCCACCACCGTCCCCGGAAGCGTTCACGTCCGCCTCCCCGGCGCCCGCCGGCCCCGCCGGAGCCGACGTGCATGCACTAGTCGACAGGACGTGCACGGGTCGGTCGGACGGCGCCCCGCCGCGTGCACGTGGGCCGTGCGGTGTGCCGGGTGCGCCGGGCCCGCCGCCGCCTGCCGCCACCACCGCTCGCGGGCACGCGGTACTCACTGGCGCCTCGTCCCCGTCCGCCGGCTCGTCACTGTCGGCGCGCTCGCTCGAGTACTCGAGACTGTCCATGGGCGCCGTCAGCGTCAGGAAGTCCTGCACGCTCCGCGACTGCTCGCGCACGCGCGGCGACAGCTCCGACGCGTCGCCGTCGGCGTCGGCGTCGGCGGCGTCGCGCGCGCCGGCGTCGTCGGCGGCGTCGGCGGCGCCGGCCGCGCGTCCCTCGGCGCCCGGCTCCGGCGCCGTCTCCTCGTCGGCCAGCATGCGGTCAAGGCTGCGCAGGGCGTCGTGGAGCTCCGAGTCCAGGCTGCCCGGCTGCGAGGGCCCCGGCTCGGGCGTGTCCGAGCCCGAGCCGCCGTCGGCCCTGCCGCGCGGCCGCAACGCCTCCCACCTGCGCCGGTCAACAGCAGCGGTCAGACGGGGCAGAGGTCAGACGGGGCAGAGGTCAGACGAGGCAGAAGTCAGACGGGCAGACGTCAAATGGGGCAGAGGTCAGACGGGGTACAGGTCAGAACGAGCAGAGGTCGGACGGGGAAGAATTCAGACGGGTTAGGGGTCGGACGGGCAGAGGTCGGACGGGGCAGAGGTAAGACGAGTCAGAGGTCGAAGGCAGGGGCCAAACACAGCCGGGCTCAGCGAGAGCACAGCTCATTCAACAAAGTCAAACGGGCCAAAGCTCAGGTGAAGCTTTAACGAGGCGCACACGCAACACAATCTTATCTCAACACAATCTAAATCAAAATCTCGGCATGAATGAGAGTCAAAAGCAGCTCGTGAAATCATTCTGAGAACATTACTTCGCAGCTCAACGCCGCTGACCATGCCGGCATCCCCCCTCCCCCCCCCCCCCCGGGTCTTCGAGTGGACGTCGCCGCACCTCTCCTCAAAGTCGTCCTTGGGCGGCACGGTCAGCTGTGCGAGCAGCGCGTGGATCCTGTGCACAGTCGGCCGCTGCGAGGCCGACATCCAGCACAGCTGCATCACCTGGTACCTGCGGGCGGCGCACACGCGGGCGACGCGTCACCGTCCGCACTGGCGGCTCTGCTCCGTTCACTATTCACGGCGCTGGTGCGAATATTCACCCGGGAGAGCTTGAGACATTGCGTGAGGATGGCGGAGCGGCGAGTCCGCGCCGTGGCAGTCATTACGGACCGCGGTCGAAGGCATCGCGTTAGGTTTCGAATATGGCTTAAAGAAACACACCAGCCAAAAGGTAACGATGAAAAGATAGCACTTTGCATTCAACGATCTCACTCAGGGGAGGGGGGAGGGGGGAGGACGCAATGCGCGCTGCGTTTGGCCGTACATTTATATGCATTATAGACATATCTGCCGAAAAGAACGAGCGAAACAGAAAAAAAACAGCAACAACAGCACAGTAAGTCACGCTGAAGGTTTATCCACTCGTTTGCATCTCCATTACAACCAGCAACATTAGCCAGCCATTGTCAATGTCATGGTTAATCCCCACACTGATGAAATCGGCCACCGGTATGACACATCAACGCCCAGAACCGTACGTTTAACATTCGAACAAAACACCCCGCGCCACCTAAGCAAAAGCCGGCTCTCATCAGTGCCGCGCTTGACAGGCGCGACCACCAGCGCCAGCGCAAGCACCAGCACCAGCACCAGCACCAGTACCAGCGCCGGGGCTAGCACCGGCACCAGCACCGGCGCAAGCCCTAGCGCCAGCGCCAGCGCCAGCACCAGCACCAGCACCAGCGCCAGCGTCAGCTCACATGCGGTCTGTGTGCGGCGAGCCGGTGCTCAGCTTCGGACGCGAGAGCTGCACGGTGCGATCGATGACCACGTGCTGGATGACGTCATCGTCCGAGAGCGGCGCGTACGGCATGGCCGCGAACGTCAGCAGCTCCCACATCAGCACGCCCAGCGACCACACGTTCGACGACTTGGTGATCTGCGGAGGGGAAGGAAATGTCAGCGCAGCAACACGCCCGCTGGCTCTGGGATCACATCTTCGACGACTGCTTGACCAGCGTAAGAGCGCGTGACGTTAGTTTGCCACCAGGGCACGGATGAGCGTCCGGAGCGAGCCGCTGCGGGCACAACATAGCCAGGGCCGAGCTGTACCACATCACTGCAGTTCGTCGCAAAAGAAACACAGCGTTGTCCAAATCCTCGGAGAAAGACTAGATGTTAATTGCTCCCATGTAGAGATCGCGTCCTAAACTCCAAAGATTACAAAGATTGCAGAGAACGCGCGCCTTCCCTTCAAACGTCCGCACCGTCCCTTCAGACGTCCGCACCGTCCCTTTAAACGTTCGCACCGTCCCCTCAAACGTCCGCACCGTCCCCCAAACGTCCGCACTGTCCCCTCAAACGTCCGCACCGTCCCCTCAAACGTCTGCAACGTCCCTTCAAACGTCCACGCCGTCCCCTCAAACGTCCACGCCGTCCCCTCAAACGTCCACGCCGTCCCCCAAACGTCCATACCGTCCCCCAAACGTCCGCACCGTCCCCTCAAACGTCTGCAACGTCCTTTCAAACGTCCGCATCGTCCCCTCAAACGTCCACGCCGTCCCCTCAAACGTCCACGCCGTCCCCTCAAACGTCCACGCCGTCCCCCAAACGTCCTAACTGTCCCCTCAAACGTCCGCACAGTCCCCCAAACGTCCGTACCGTCCCCTCAAGCGTCCGCACCGTCCCCTCAAACGTCTGCAACGTCCCTTCAAACGTCCACGCCGTCCCCTCAAACGTCCACGCCGCCCCCTCAAACACCGCGCAGTCCGCCGCGCTGGCCACCGCGTCACCAGCACAGCAGACAGCGTCTGGCGGCGTCCGCCGAGCGGTGTTGCGGCGCGACGAGCCGTCACTGATCTCGGCCGCCGCGCGCTGTCACACGGCCGCCGCCGCCGGCGCTGCCCGGCCCGCTCCATCCGCAGCCGGCAGCGGATCACCGCCGGCGCGCGCGGCGTGCGACTGTCGGCGGCGCTGGCCCGAGCGGACCGACCATTACGCCGCGGCCTGATCGCCTCGGCCGCCCCGCTCCGGCTCATAATGGGTTATCGTCGCTCGCGATCGGGACGTGTGATGAATTGGTCGGGTCTGTCGGCCGCGCCGCGCCAGATCGGGCCCGTCTGCTGGACGGATGGCCTTCGTGACGGCGGCTGGTTTATAGTGGTTTCCGCAAACTCGACTGATTATGTGGGATTTCGCACTCCGCTGCTGCGCGGTCATGTAGCGCCATTAAACAGGCGGTCGAGAATGGACTGCAGGTATGCACTGCAAGACTACGCACGCGGACATTGTGGTGGTGATGGTGATGGTGATGGTGATGGTGATGGTGATGGTGATGGTGATGATGATGAGTTGGGCTTAAGGGCGCGCCAACTACCCAGGGCATATGACGCCCATTCGTTGGCATGAGCTAATGTGCTATCTCTCAGAAGTGAACATCATCTTGAGTACTCATGACTGGTCGCAGTAACATACCAGTTAATTTAATAACCCTTCCTACTTTTGTGCTTGGACTTTGACGTCATTTACGCAGAATCTTCCGGCCAATTTCTCCAGACATTGTCAGGTGCTAATGGGCCCTAAAAGAGCCTGAGGCTAGCCGCTCCCATGATGTCACATTTCAGGAGATCCTGGTCCGAAGATCCCAACTATCTTATCCCTGGAGGATCAACGGTTGGAAATTAAGCGGTTGGAGCATCTGTCTACCAATCGCAGGGTTCTGAGTTCGAAGCTCGAAGCTGTCAGACCCTTTTTAAGCCCAGATATGCACGTAGCTATACGCAAAACATTCCCAAGTCCTTTCAGGACTACCTGAAACCTGACGGCATCCTTAGAAATACGCGGTCGCAATGCGATGTGAAAACCAACGCCACTGACCGGGACAGCAGCCCGAACAGCTATCCCAGAGCCCAGCCAGCTCATCTCAAACGCCCCGTGGACAAGACGCCAGCTGTCCAGCAACGAGACACAGCGACAACGCAGCGAGACACAGCAGGGCACACAACACAGCGAGACACAGCATCCGCGCCGGTGACATCTGCACCGGTGACACCGGTGACACCGGTCCTCTGGCCATCTCAGCGTCCCATCCGGGCACCGCACGGCGCCCGTCCGCCGTCCGGACGTCACGACGCCCGGCGCTGTGACGCGCGCGCGCGACCGTGACGTGACGGCCCGGCGCCGCGGCACCGCGACGTCACGCGGCGGGGGTCCGTGACGCCGGCCCGGCGCCGCAGCCCGTGTGGAATCGATGGCCGCCGCTCGCACGCGCCGCTCGGCTGTTTGCGACTCGGACCGGACCACCGCCGCCGCCGCCGCCGCCCGTCAATATGGCCAGTGGCGTCGATTCGAAACGGAGTCGACCAATACCGCCCGATGTTTTTATTGGGAAGGACTGCGGAGTGGGGAAAGGCGGGGCGATATTGGAGCGGCCGAAACGAAGCCCGCGACAGGACTCGCCGGCATCAAAACGGCAATATGGCACAAGGCGTCTCTTCCTCGCTTGTAAAAACGTCGGGTGAGATCCGAGGGCACGGAGGGCCGTGTCGAGCACTGCGGCACGCTAGGCCTTCGCTGGAAATCCCGTCATTCAACTGGAATTTCACGGCCAGATGCTGGGATCGGAGTCCATGCAACGAGCACTGCTTAGAGTGCGTTCTGAACACAAAAATCCAACTAGTAAACAAGGTTCGGACTTAATCGATACAGATAACAGCGCATTGTGATAGCTTCGGCACTCAGTTGAAACTAACCCAAATCATCTTGAATAGCCTAGCAACGTACTCCTGGACGCACGCCAATGACTTAATCAATACAAAAATAACAGCGCATTGTGATAGCTTCGGCACTCAGTTGAAACTAACCCAAATCATCTTGAATAGCCTAGCAACGTAACCTTGGACACAAGCCACTGTCGCGGGCCCAAAACCTCACTGAGTCACATGAGCCAGCGCAGCCTACACGCGGCAAGAGGCGAACGGTGGCACACGAACCCCCAACAGCTGAAACAGGGTGCACGGCGCCGCGCGCCCACGCTCGCTCCGCGCATACTCTCCATTCTAACGCCGAAGCTCGCTGGAATGTCATAACCACCCCCAGTTCGCTACGGCGAGCCCAGTCCGCGCGGCTAACAGCGACATTCACCGCCAGCCTCTCCGGGCGGCGCGATATTGCTTTGCTAATCACGGCACTTGAGTCGCGCCGCCCGCCGAATGCCGTTTAACTGTTCAACAGTCGACTGATTGAGGGCCCGCGAACCGCGCTCAACATTCAGCACAGACCGAGCGTGCCTCAGCGCTGAGCGAGTCTCAGCGCGGGGAGAGTCAGCACGGAGCGAGTCTCAGCGCGGGGAGAGTCAGCGCGGAGCGAGTCGTAGTGCGGAGCGTGCTTCAGCGCGGGGACAGTCAGCGCGGGCGAGTCTCAGCGGGGGAGACTCTCAGCGCGGAACGAGTCTTAGCGCGGAGCGTGCCTCAGTCCGGCGCGAGTCTCAGCGCGCAGCGAGTCTCAGCACGGGGAGACTCAGCGCGGAGCGAGTCTTGGCGCGGAGGGTGTCTCAGTGCGGAGCGAGTCTCGGCGTGGCGCGAGTCTTAGCGCGAAGCAAGTCTCAGCGCGAAGCAAGTCTCAGCGCGGAGAGAGTCTCAGCGCGGAGCGAGTCTCAGTCCGACGCCGCGCCGGACACAAACGCCGGGCTGGCGATCCGTTACCTCCTTGGTCTCGATGGTGGAGGGCGTGCACTCGAGGATCTCCGGCGCGCACCAGCGCACAGGCAGCGCCACCTCGCCGGCGATGTAGTAGTCCTCCTGCAAACAGAACAGCGACACGCGTCAGATCCTGCGTCACCTCCCTCACCATCTCACACGTCAGCTCGGCGCCCGACGCCGGCTCCGGCAGCATGCCACCGGGCCGCGCCTGCTGCCGGAGGGATGCAGGTCGCGGGTCACGGATCACGGATCACGGATCATGGATCATGGATCACGGACCACGGGTCACGGGGTCACCGAGGCGGGCGGCGCGTTTTGCGCTCACCACTGTTTTCCCGCGTTGCAGTCTCGTCAGGCCGCGGGGAGACGGCAGGACGAGAGGGAGGGGACACGCCCACGCCACAGCGTCGCACCGGCGGCGGCGGCGGCGGCGGCGGCGGCGGCGGCGGCGGCGGCGGCGGCGGCGGCGGCGGAGGCACGGCTCCGCTTTACAGCCGCCGGCTACAGGCCGCGGCCGCGTCCCGCCGTCGTAAAACCGGCCGGACGACGCGTCGGTGGCCCGCTCAGCCCGTCGATGATGCGGGCAGATGGGCGGCGCCGGCGATGACCCAGGGATACAAGCCGCCCGGGCGGCGACCCGCAGACGTGGGCCGCTCTGGTGATCAGCGGGGGAGGGGACGGCAGGCGGCGGCCGTCTGCCGCAGAGTCCGAGCCCCCGCGACAGGCAGGTCCCACGAGACGTACCAGCGGTGCGTTGCACTCCCAAGATCCTAATACGGCGCTGCAGACGAGTCTATGACAGTGCTTGCGATGTCTGCAATCTCCGAGGCGAAGGAAGGCCTTACAGAGCGCACATTGGTCTCGAAAGCTAAAGACGCCTAAGCCTCGCCCATCGAAGCCGGTCTTCCGTGGCGTCGTGACGACGCGCGGGAAATGTCAAGGGCGAGGTGGCGAGGCTGTGACACGTTATGAGGTGTTTGCCATCAGCCGGACTGCCGGCTGCTACTTCAGCCGGGGCCTCGAGATCGATCAGTTCAACATCACGTCCGCAGGCCGCGGCTAAATCAATAACAGCCGGAAAACACAACTCGTGACTCGCACGCCGGGGCTACTCGGCGCGCACGCGAGCGCCGCGCTGACGACCACCTTCCGAGCCGGCGCCTGATGACCACTCCCGCCCGCCCAACAGCCAGCGTTGCGGCGGCGGCGGCAGGCGTGGGCGCCGGGCCGCGGAGCGCCGCAAGCGCGGGCCGGCCGACGCGTCCACGCCCCGAGCGCCGCAAACAGCCGGCGTCGATGCCACCGCCGCTGCTGCAGCTCGGCCGGCGGCTGCAGGCGAGCGTCGGCGGCAGCTCCGGGCTCGCCCTAGACTCCGGGCTCGCCCTAGGCTCCGGACTCGGCCCGGCGCGTCGACTGCAGCCGGCGCGCCCCAGTTCACGGGGTCTCGTGGAGATTGCAACAGGGAGTGTAATACGATGACACGCTCAGAAATACCAATATGTTCGTTATCATTTATCAGCTACTAGCTTGAGGTTGACAAATGCTTAGCCGTGAAGCATCGCCAATGCGCTGCGAGACCCAGCCGCAGGCTGGTGGCCAGTGGCCAGACCGCGGTCAGTAGACGAGGAAGGAGAACGGAGGGAGTGGGGGACAGAGGGAGGGGATGGGTCCGTGACTCGATCGTGGTCAATAAACGAAGAAGGGGACGGACGAGGGGGGGGGGAGAGGGGGTGATGGAGCCGTCCGCTGATCGTTCTCCCGGCCGGCAGGTAATTATCGTCCGTTGATGGGTTGGCCCAGAGCCGCACGCCACGGCCCTCACTCTGCATACTGCAGCTCCTCTCGGGACACTGACGGACCGGACACTGACGGACCAGACACTGACGGACCGGACACTGGCGGACCAGACACTGACGGCCCGGACACTGACAGACCGGAGACTGACGGACTGGACACTGGCGGACCAGATACTGACGGACCAGACACTGACGGCCCGGACACCGACGGACCGGACACTGGCGGACCAGACACTGACGGACCGTACACTGACGGACCGGACACTGACGGACCGGACATTGAAGAACCGGACACTGACAGACCGGACATTGAAGGACCGGACACCAACGGACTGGACACTGGCGGACCAAACACTGACGAACCGGACACTGACGGACCGGACATCGAAGGACCGGACACTGATGGACTGGACATTGGCGGACCAGACACTGACGGACCGGACACTGACGGACCGGACACTGACGGACCGGACATTGAAGGACCGGACACTGACGGACCGGACATTGAAGGACCGGACACTGACGGACAGCACACCGACGGACCGGACACTGACGGACAGCACACTGACGGACAGCACACCGACGGACCGGACACTGACGGACAGCACACTGACGGACCGGACACTGACGGACCAGACACTGACGGACAGCACACAGACGGACCGGACATGAAAGAACCGGACACTGACGGACCGGACACTGAAGGACCGGACGTCGGACCGTACACTGGCGGACCAGACACTGACGGACCGGACACTGACGGACCGGACACTGACGAACCGGACACTAACGGACTGGACACTGGCGGATCACACTGACGGACCGGACGCTGACGGACAGCACACCGACGGACCGGACATTTAAGAACCGGCCACTGACGGACCGGACACTGACGGACCGTACATTGACGGACCGGCCACTGACGGACCGGACACTGACGGACCGTACACTGATGGACCAGACACTGACGGACCGCACACTGGCGGACCAGAGAGTGACGGACTGGACACTAACGGACCAGACAGCTGATGACGAGCCAGCCTGCTGACGGACACGCCGACTGCTGGCTCGCCGAAGTGGCGCCTCGGCCTAGCGCCAGTAGCCGACTCCGTTAGTTGGTTAGTTATTGGGCTTTACGGGCCCGTCACGTGCCATGGTCAATTTGCCCAGAGCGACAGCGCCGCGCCTTGACGCCAGCCCTGGACGCTGGCCAAGCCGGACGGGTTCTGCGGTGTGCGTGACACGTGCGCTATTCGTTCTCCTTATCGCCACCGGCATTACCCGAGGTGCACTCCCATTAAATTCTGCCGCGCCCGAGGCGTTTTTTACGCCGCCTTCAGCATCGGTTTCGCAAGTAATCTGGACCCGCCAGCCAAGTTCTGTCGGACAATCTATTACGGCGCGGTGTTCGGGAGCTGGTGGGGTGGAGGGAAGTGCAAACTGCGGCAGGCTGCGACTGGCGCTGGGGGGGGGGGGGGGAGGAGGGCGGTTGCTCCAGCGGCGCCGCCGAGCAGCAGTCGCAGCTGCCGACATCGACATCGACATCGACATCGACATCGACATCCCAGTCCCATCCAGCACGAGCATCCACAGGGCTACTGGCGGAGCTGTGCTGCCGGAGATTGGGCAGGGCTCGCCGGCCGCCTGGGGACGACCCCGGACTGTCCGGGTGTCGAGTCACACCTGGTCCGCCGCGTGCGTTCGAGCCACGTCCAACACCGCGCGTCCACCTCGCGTAAAACACCTCCTTGTTGAACTGAGCTCCGTTTCCAGCTACATCTACGGCAGCTCCAGGCCGGCGCCGGCCGGGGGAGCTGGGCAGTTTCCAGCTACCACACCCAGGCCAGCGCTGGCCGGGGAGCTGGGCAGTTTCCAGCTACCACACCCAGACCAGCGCTGGCCGGGGGAGCTGGGCAGCTTCCAGTTACCACACCCAGACCAGCACTGGCCCGGGGAGCTGGGCAGCTTCCAGCTACCACACCCAGGCCGGCGCTGGCCGGGGGAGCTGGGCAGCTTCCAGCTACAACATCCCCGACAACCCCACGCCAGCGCCGGCCGGGGAGGGGGGCGCTGAGCAGCTAACGCTGGCGCCTCCCCCCCCCCCCCCACAGCTCCAGGCCAGTGCTGACCGGGCTGACGCTGGCGCCCGCGGCAATTCCAGTGAATCGCGTGCGGGTCGGGTACGCGCGACGGAACCCCAGTCTCCCTGATCTAGTCTGTAAACTGTCAGGTGCCACGAACTGGTCCAACTGTCGAAGTTGGCCACCAAAAGACCAACAGTTATTTTAATTACAATCAGATTAGAACTGACGGAAGTTTTTTTTTGCAACTCTAGCTTGGGAATTCCAACTGGAATTTGAGGCATGGATAGTAATAGTGTGCCCTGCAGCTATAGCTCAGGAATTCCGCCTGGAATTTGAGACCAATCGATGGCCATCTTCACATGGGTTTCATCCACGAAAGACTCACGCGCTTTGGTAGGGTGCTGCTGTGGCGCACAGAACTGATCATAGAAGCCAATATGAGCAGGGCATTCGGAGAAGGCTTTGAACCATGTTCCCCGGCAGTTACCGTGGTCACCAGTCCAAGAGCGACGAGGGTTACTCCCCGGTGATTTCGTAAATCACACCCGAAAACGATACATCATTCCCGGCAGTGGCTGCTCCGTCTCCATGGTAACGAGAGCCGAGACCGACCCTCGGTCACGGGCTGGAATGCCGCCATCCGCCCGGTGAACGAGGCACCGCTCTAAATAATCCGCAACGATGCCAGCAAAGATTGGAAGCGGAGAATTATGGGAGCCAGCGTTGTGCCACGTGACTCCCTGCGTCACAGCGTGCAGTCGAGGGGAAATCCCATCCCCGTCGGCCATCTATTTCTAGTGAATGATGTTCGACCGGGGCCTGCGCGGCCAGTGCTTTCAAAACTCCGGGGTGTGTTGACACGCGTAAGAAACGGCGTGAACGAATTCACAGCGTGTGCTCAAGAGCGTACACGAGCACTTTCGTCACGCACGTGCACGAGTGAGGAGGCCACGTGACACTCGGCGTCTGCGCGCTACGATAATTCTTTCACACACCGCTGAATTCCGACTGTCGCTGCGGCAAGTCGAAAACTCCGGACCTCGTAAATATCAAACTTCCCGCGGTAACAGCTATGGATTTCACTATGAATTTCACATTAAGCACTCATGCATGGACCATTTCATATTAAACAAAGAAGTCATTCTTGTACCATCAAAACTCACAGTAGGCCATAAGGTTATCACAGCATATGGCCTGTTGGTTTAAGTAAATTGCCGAC